TTCTGCTTCCGATTGTCAAACAACAAAGCACATATACACGCGATTCCGGGCATGTGCTTGAAAAACTAAACAACGTGACATTGAAGCAGGATAGCCTATTGATCACATTGGATATTGTGTCCATGTATACGAACTGCCCACAAGATGAGGCAATTGAATCAGTTTGCGATGCACTTGAAGTTGCTGATAGCAGTCTGTACGCAATACCCAAACCTACAAGAGAACACGCTCGCTGTCTCCTGGAACTTATCATGCATCGAAACATATTTGAATTCAATGGAAAGTTCTTCAGACAGAAAATTGGCGTGGCTATGGGAAGCAAATGCAGTCCAGAAATATGCGATATAACCCTGTTCAAATATGAAAAAGAAATTATTCTCCCACACAATCCTTCAATTGTGAGTTACATGAGATACAGGGACGACGTCTTAATAATATTTAACGGTAACGAAGACCAAGCCAGTGACCTCGTCCAAACTCTAAACCAAATTCATCCCACGCTCAAGTTCACGTCAGAGATTTGAAACAGTCAAGTCACCTTACTCGACCTCGTCATCTACAAAGGCGAACGGTTCAAAAAAGAAGGGAAACTGGACACTCGAGTAGCAACCAAAAAAACTGATACCTTTCAGTATCTTGCTCGAGATTCAGCCCACCCTGAGTCAGTGTTTGGCGATTTGATTAAGTGAGAATTAATGAGATATGACCGTATATGCACACACTCAAAAGAATTTGAGGAGAAGGCTGAATTCTTCAAAGACAAACTTCAAAAACGCGGATACAACCAAGAAGACTTAGCCCTTCTTCCCCAAAAAGGCGAAACTCGCGTGAACTCTAAAAAGCGTGCAAAAACCGAAAAGAATATCCCGCTGGTCTTTGTTTTACCCTACCACCCAAAAATTAAACACCCAGCTCTTAAGCAGGCCCTTCTGAAACACTGGAATCTGATCAGCGATAATGATTTTCTCAGTGCACTCTTTGCGACCCAACCCATCCTGGCATACAAACGACAAAAAAAACACATAAAAGATGGCCTGGTCCGATTAAGGATTAACCCATCTCCACTACCAACCAAGAAAAAAAACTTGGATGAGGAGAACGTACAAGTCCTATTGGAACTTCTTGAAGAACAGAACTAACATAATGGTCATTTAGGCATGGATTTCGAAATAAAAAAAAAGAAAATAATGAATCCACTTAATCTGATCATTACAAGAAATGCTAACGCGTAAAATATTCTTAACCATCATTAGCAATAAAGAAAATACGTATAAAAGAATTAAACAAAGGGTGATTGATGAAGTGCGTAAAAAGGGCACAGAAAATATGCACTGTTTCCCCCGACACACAAAAAAGAAAAAACAGGTGGGACGGCATATTATCACCGGTATAAATCAAATCATTAAGTGAACTAGAAACAAAAACCACATATACACAAACCAGTCACTACGTCGCCTAAACACCGGATGAGTTTTTTGAAACTCCCGCTCTCCGGTTATCACTAATCTAATGGGCCCGCTGGCGAGGTATGTGTTGACAAGTTGTAACCCACCCATCACCGCAACCCAGCAGTGGAACTGATTTTACTCCCTATATGCGTATTGAATTTCCAAAAAAGAAAAAAACCTTAACAAATACGCTCTAGGCAGTTTAGTCATATACTTACACAGGTATCCATACCAGTGCTTCTAAGTCTTAAGTAAACGGAAATCTTCCCTAGCTGGTTGCAAATACAATGTTTTCAAAAAGCTTCATCAGCTCGCAGAGCCCCTCGTACTCCAATTTTATCATACATCCCATAAAAAGAAAAGAATGAGGAACGGCCCTGCTGATGCTGATAGGAAATTCCATCCTCCTCCCTTGTTTTAAACCCTTCTTCACGGCGGCAACTTTCTTGGAATGACTTTGGAACTTTCCAACAAGTTATTAGTATCAACAGATTGTTCCCTGAATTTTGCTCGCACAAAACCGGTTCTTCCTTGCTATTTTCCTAGCCAGAAAACCACTTCTTTTTAAGAAAACACAAGTCTGATAAAAACTTTAATGCATGGTGGCGGCCAAACTCCATTCCATTTAACTTAAAATGTAGTGGCGACATGTATGATTACGCCCCTTCCTATTAAACACAAGTACATGAAGAATGAAGGCGCCACCTATTGCCAAGAAAGATACAGTCACGCGACGGGCGACGGCACGACGCGACTGGCGACGGCACGACGCGACGGCACGACGCGACGGGCGACGGCACGACGCGACGGGCGACGGCACGACGCGACGGGCGACGGCACGACGCGACGGGCGACGGCACGACGCGACGGGCGACGGCACGACGCGACGGGCGACGGCACGACGCGACGGGCGACGGCACGACGCGACGGGCGACGGCACGACGCGACGGGCAATGTGTGCGTCGCCTCTTCAAGCAGTCTATTTAGAAGCGCCGAGGTAACAGGCGACGGCACGACGCGACGGACGACGGCACGACGCGACGGACGACGGCACGACGCGACGGACGACGGCACGACGCGACGTGTGAAGGTGCGTCGCTTCCTCATGCAGTGTACGTGCTTAGAAACGGTAATTTAAGAGGCGACGGCACGACGCGACGCCACGACGTGACGGGCGACGGCACGACGCGACGGACGACGGCACGACGCGACGGTACGACGCGACGGCACGACGTGAAAGCACGACGCGACGCAGGTTTGGCGTCTATAGAACACCATACTACGTAGGGCCCGGTATACAGGTTTTGTTGCCGGCGTAAGATCCATTGGCGGGTGTTTTTTGTGTACATAGCCGGATTTTGTTGTTTCCTGTTAACGTACGATGCCATTTGTATGTTTCTCCATACCAGTGAGCCAATTCTTGTATTAACCCGCCTATTATAACCTATCACGGTAGAATCGCAGCTTGTGAAATAATAATTGTCCAATTACATGATAATTATACAAATGGACGCGGAACGAGCAAAATCTGAGACAAACAAAACTTAAACATACACAAATTCCATGGGGTTGTCTAAGGGGCGTGGCTAGCTCGCAACAGTACGGCGACAGGTCAAGCAAGGCGCTTGTGCAAAATGCTGTGCTGTTCATTACGTACCGTGTGCTGTGTACTATCAAGTCGGTAGAACGCGCAAAAGGTGGTGCTCCCCCCCCCCCGAAAATATTATGGCGACGCCCATGCCGAATCCCCTTTAATATAATAACTTCATTTTGCGACACGATTCGGGTTGGTGTGACGCAACACCAAATAGTTACGCTTCAGTTGTAATAGCCAAGAGCTCCGTGTTATGCCACAAATGGCCTTACCATCTGTATTGAAAGATAATAACGCCGATATTTGTAGCCTAGGCCTATTTCAAAACAAATTCCACTCACAAAAGAGAACACAATCCTGGTTGTCCAAGGTCTGGACAAACCACAGAGTGGATATTGTCCGATATTTATGGCCTTTGAAAGTGTATCCATTGTCCACCTGCCTAACACGAATTAGTTTGATCTTTCTCAAACGTCCAATATAAAATACTTCCAAATGCAAGAGAAACGGGTAAAAACTGAACTATTTCCCTGAGTCTGAATGTGTGTGGTCAGATCTATGAAGAAAACCCTTTTAACCCTAAAGGGGCCGGGTTATTTTGACCATCTCTCAGCCGGGGGGGGGGGGCGGATTCCGCCCCCCCCCCCCATCGAGTGACGAATCGTCACTCGGCCATCGAGTGACGAAAAATTTTGAAACTCGGCACATGCATAGAGCAACTCTTCCTAAACATACCCAAGAAATTTCATGACTATAGGTCAAAGGGTTTTGGAATTATGGCAATTCTGCTCTGTGTACACGACGTATATGCGAAAATTCAGTTTTCACGGCGCGTAGCGCCGGAAAATTGTTCGCTACGCGGCAACCCGTGGTCCGATTTTTATGTTTTTGGTATCAAAAGATGCGCAAAGCTCGAGGCTAAAAAGTCATAACAGCTCGGGTCGCGAAAAAAAAATTTCTAGAGGCTATCACGGAAAATGTTGAGGGGGGGGGGCGGATTCCGCCCCCGGCCCCTTTAGGGTTAAGGCGTTTACACCAGCGAGGAAAAAGTATTAGTGCACAAGAGAGGGAATTATTGAGCACCACAGCCAGGGGTTGATGGGGAAGTCGACAGACCCACTCCAGATTCGATATGGGGCCATTTGTTATCTTAAAAACTCCCAACAATAAAGTTATTTCATGTTTAGAGATTGTGGTGTTCTGAGAAAACTTCTAACTTTAATTTGAACGAGTCATTTGATAATTAAAACATCCAGACTGTTTTTGTAAGCATGCGAAAAGTTACAGCACGAAAAAAAGTCAAAAAAGGGAAAAATTTTCCCCTCAACTTTCCACGCGTCATTTCAATTCATGGCTGCGGAGTGTATAATGTAGGCGTGTGTGGTACTGCTTTCTTTTTATATATACCGAACGTTTCGAAGGTACGAAGGGACAAACGCCTCTTGTGTTAAAATACAAGGACATTGCTCAACGCGCCAACTGTTTGTATAATTGCATTTTTTATAATTTAAAAAAAACCTGTACACCATCGAGACCAACTTTAGAATTGGTTGTTGGGAGCAGCACTTTACTTGGACAATGTTGCCTCTGTTGGATTTAGTCATGTGACCGCAAAAAAAGTTGAGTTTACCATTGCTGGCTCGCCTATTTCACTTAAAGGTTGTCACTTTTGTATTAATTGGGAAATTAAACGGTACATTATTATCTCTCGTTACTGATCTATAGATCTATAGGTCGTTTAAATCTTGAGGCATCCTTGATTACCTTACAAAATAATGTCAAGGATGCTCTTTTCCAAAAAAATAAATAAGTGTTCAAATTAATGAATAACAGGGTTTATTTAAATTACAGCCCAGGTGATAAACCTAAACTTGATTTTGCTTGGCCAAAAGTTATAAAAACGCCACAAAGGGTAGATTTCAGCAGAAGTTTGCGTGCAAGGGTGTAGAGACGTAGTGAACTGCCGAGTCAATCAGAACCAAACTGAAAGTCGACGGAAGTCGGCGGAAAAACGTGTCTCCCTCCCAAAACCCGCCGCACTTAATTGACGATGGGTCTGAAAGCGTTGAGTGAACGTCCTTCGACTATTTGCGTTCTCGTTTTTGGATTTGCTTTGCTCGTCACCGTAATATCCGGTAAGATTTTTACTTTTCGTCGGCCCACCCAAACGCTGAAAACAACCAAAATATCGGAATTCAAAGGACCTTTAGTTAGAAAATTCCGGCCAATTTTAATCAAAGAATTAGACGGAAAAGTAGGCCTTGTCTATCCTGAAAAATATACACGGGTCTTTATGAAGACAGTCAGCGGTGTATCCAGCTTTGATGTCAGGGAGGGGGCAGTCACGGGCAGAATCAAAAGCCTTATAGTCACCGGTCTTTTCAGCATTATGTCAGCAGCACCACGAAGTAACAACCATGTATAATTATATACATACCAGTAACAATCGGATAAAACGTTGAACGTCTAAATCTAAAGTTGAACGCCTTTTAAAACAACACTTTGCGTCAAAACGGCAGAGTATTTTCAGTTGGGTTTCTCGTTGTGGACACTTGATGAATTGAATTTAGTAAATCTGCTGTTTTTCACCCGTTTGTGTATTAAATCAACAAGAAATAAGAGAAAAAAAGATGAGTGTTAGTTCGTGAAACCGAAAAGGCTGCGAAACTGTAAATTTTCGTTTTCACGAAGTAACACTCTTCAATGTATTCAACACGAGGAAACTGCAACTTCAGGTCAGCGCGCGCGCGCTCATACAAGGAAAGTGTTACTTCGTGAAAACGTTTTTGCTCGCATTTGAGCAGAGTGCGCGCCATGCATTGCAATGGTAAATGGAACTTGAGTGTTACTTCGTGAAAACGAAAATTGTCCCTTTTGCACAAAAGTTGCCATGGATAATCAGTGTAATTATTAAAGAAAAGCTCTTGAAGCTTTGAAACTTCGTGCAATGGTAGGCCTTGATGAATAATGTTTAAAAATGTACAAAACTGAAAATCGAAAAAAATATGGTTTTACACATGGAGTGTTACCTCGTGGTGTCGGTGACGTTTTGATGTCGGGCGGGGGCAAAATCAAAAGCCTGTATTTTAGGCTTCATGATTTCTCGTTTTTGTCAGGGCCATTAATTGAAATAGTCACTCAAAAAAAATTGAAAAAAATAAAATAAAATAAAAAATCCGCAAGGGGCGGGGCAAAATGCTCCCTCCCTCCCACCCCCCTCCCGCTGTATACGCCACTGAAGACCGTGTTGATATCTGTTAGGCTAGGTGCATTGTTTAATGTTTGGTGAAAACCTACCTGACATTTGCTGTGAACTTGTCTCAATAATGTTGGTCAAACTTTGCACAAACTTCAGGCAAGATGTTGAGCAACAGGTTCCCATTATTCTAAAGGGATGACCACTTTAATGGTGTAGTTAAATGAACTGTTTAAAATGAACTGTTGTCAATTTGACACCGAAAGATTTTTTTTTTTAATTTACTTTTTTTTATCGGCTCTAGTTTAGTTATGGAATAATAATTTTGCAAACTAATTTCAATTTATTTGCGGCACAGCTCTTATAGGGCGGATCTCTTTATGCGCGAAAAGCACCCCCAACGCCCTCCCTTTTTTTTCAAAGGGTTGCGAACGCCCAAATAAGAGGAAAGTAATGTTAAAATAAAACATTCGATGTTCAAAATGCTTGAGGAGAAAAAAAAATAGAATATCTTGAAGATTGCAGACACTACATATTCAGTGCATGATACCGGAAAGAAAGTCATGCGTAATTTGTGACAATGTCAAAATTTGAGTATATGGCCTATACATTGAAGCCGAAATCCTTAATGAACTGGCAAAGCGAATTATGCTAAGGAAAGCCCCTGAACAAAAACTTATGAAAATACATAAAATGTCATGCTTTTTAAGATAACTTTAACCCGGGTAGGGCCTATTCCATTTTATTATTGCTGAACATTTATTTCAACGTTGTTATGTCACTAGAAATATTAAATCGTTAGGTTAACATTTAAGCATACAAAATATAATACGAAGTAATTTACACAACACCGTTATTAACATAATGAAAATATATGTATAATCCACATAACAACACGGGGATATGGATACGGATATGTAGATTTTTGCTCAAAGTTGATTTTGTTTTATATGTATTGGTCAGTTTTGGTGGATCCTGTAAAAGCCGGCATATGCATGGGCGCTCTGCTGAAAAAAGGTCACATTTATGAATGTTTGGGGTTGTTGGTGTTGTTTTGATTTTGTTTTCGTTTTTGTTTTTATTTGCGTGATTCATTGGAAAATCATGACAACACAGTTGATGCTAGGAATACAGTCAGCAATACAGTTTAAATTATTTTTTTCTGATGCATTTCCCCAAAAGGTCGACGGACAACATAGTGTTCACTATTGATACATTGATATTAATTCTTCATCAAGTGAACTGCGATCTATATCCAATTGCACATGTAATCATAATTATCAATAGTCGATGATATACTTTGCTCGAATCGCAGCATCTAGACTCCCTTACAAAGTTGCGTATATGTCTCAGGAGACATCCCGTGTAAACTTTAGAGATTGACATGGGGCAAGATTTTGGGAGCCAAAACTCATCTCACGGAATTGAGACCAATATTTGTAGTCATTGAAAGCCTCCCACGGTCAAATTTGATTGATAATGATACAAAAAAGTTTGTTTAAAAAGAACCTGGAGTGATTCAAGAATGACGAGCTTGTTCTAATCGGTTGTATAGTGCCTGTATGCCTGTATGTTCTATTAAAAAAACAACTTTTTTTGTATCTATTTTGGACATTTTAACCCTTTGAATGGACACTTTCCTTTTGGGTGGCTTTTTGCGTCCTTTATGCGCATAAAACGGTTATTGTCGATCAGCAAGTAATTGGAAATTTGTAATATTCCATATTAAACTAGGGTTGATTTCTAATTGTTCGATGTCTCATTCTAAAGTGAATGACGTTTGTATTACTTGAAAATTAGCGATTAAAACAAATCTGTACGGGGGAGAGCAACTTTTAAATCAGAACATTTTGTTTGGTTATAGGAAGAACCTCTTCATCGGCTGTCAATGCCGATAGTCCATGGGAAAGTAGTAAACGGTTTTTAAAAGGGTTTAATGTAGAAACATATAATTGTTGGAAATATTCAGAACGACGTACATTTCTATGAATCTAATTTTTGATGTAAATGGAGGACATTCGTAATAAAAAAAAACACTTTCGAGACGAGATGATAGAGGCCATCCAAGTACGTACGCACGAATTGCCGACTTTTTAGACCCCGTGTACGTCACGTGTACAGTATGACAGTACGTACTCCCCATTTCTCCGCCCTGGCCTCCTTCGTGCGAGTGCAGTTTATGGACGGCCCGGCCCGACCCATATATGCATAGTGCCTACCAAAAAAACGCGATTGGACGAGGTACGAAACAATCCCGCATTGATTCACCAAAACACAATAGACAAAAGGGTCAATTTCTAGGTTTTGTAAGTTGTACTTTTTTGCACTGGATCTCCACAATGAAACACACAAGGGGTTCTTTATTAGCTCAAGGACGCTAGAAAAATAAATCATATGAATCACTGAAAGAGTTGTGCTTGCGCGGACATCAAGCGTGGTTGACGATGTGGGTCGGTGCTCTCGGATTGCGGGGACAATGTACGGGGGCTCCTGAAGCCTGAGTATAGAGTGAGTGAATTCGCAAATGTCACCATCAAGACAAGTGTCAAGCTCGATCCTTATAACAACAGAGTTGACCTTAGGAGAAAATTTGCTTCTCAAGTTCTAATTCGTTAAATCGTCAAGTCGGCCAAGAAATATACCCTCAAACACATCTTCTTTCTTTTTTTTACCCTCAAATCCTTTGAATACAAGTCGATAGACCCTACCAGTACATATTGTTGACCCAAGAAATCCTTTAACCAAAATTTGAAATTTGATAAACCTGTATCATCATTGTCTTCGTCACATTGAGAATGATAAACCGAGGCATCCCTACGAAAAAAGGCTCGGTGCTCAATTTGACCAAAAGCGCTATAGAGGGCGCTTCCATAGCACCTTGTCGGCAGCGCGCGCCGAACCAAATCCGTACCCGTGGGCGCGGGGCATGGGCGTCGCGATGGGGGGGGGGGGGGGGGGCAAGGGGGGCACTTGCCCCCCCCCCCCCCCCCCCTGGAAAATTCCAAAAAAAAAAAAAAAAAGGAAGAAAAGAAAAGAAAAGAAAAGAAAAGAAAAGAAAAAGAGACGCGAAGACAAAGTGGTGTACATTTAATGAGTTGGGGGGGGGGGCAAAATGTCCATGCCCCCCTCTAAAACTGATAAATCGAGAATGTGTTGAGAAATACAAGAATTTTTTGGCAAAATTGTTTTTGCCCCCCTCTAGAAAAAATCCTGGCGACGCCCATGTCGCGGGGTAGTAAAGAAATGGGCCGGGTTAAGGGCACTAGGCATGCAATGCACGGTCACCCTTTCCCACCCCACCCCCTAGTTACGCCAATGCTTGTAAGTGGAAATTCTCCGGCTTTTTTCTTTTTACTCCTTGTTCAGAGCGTGGGGACAACAAGTTCAACTTAAATTCAGTGTCCAGTGGCAGTTTCCCACTGAAGCCTACATGGTCGCATAGCATAAGGCAGTTTGAAGACTGTTTTGGGGGTGAGATCTGACGATTTTGATAGGGGGTACGAGTGAAAATGGTCAAAAAAGTTATAAGTAACACAATAAGGCTATGTACCTAGGACTCTACTATCGCCCGACCATGTCCAAATGTTAAGAAAGGCGATTCGTAGAGTCCTAGTTACTCGGAATAAGCTAGCTCATGCTTGTTAAACAAGGACGTGTCCTGGGGGCGCTCTCTGCTCTGAGTCTATTTCATTCGTCTGATGTTGACTTCATGCTTTTATTAAACTGTTCATAGCCCATGATAATATTACGTTTAGTGTTATGCGTAAGACTTTGAGTTTGTGTCGCATGATAAATATTTACTCTGTATTTGCACTAACTATTGAGCGCCACATAAAGTTCTCTTTGGTAGCATTCAGGGGGTACTTTCATTCGTACTTCTGCTTTTAGTACTTCTGACTCCCAAAGATTTCATGTTTTCTGCAGCCGAATCCTTGACCGACTCTCACATAAAGGTAAAGGTAAAGGTCCCATAGGTGGAGTGGGATGTTAGAGGTCCACTGTGTCTTGGGCGCGGCTAGACCTGTGAATTTGGCGTTCCGTTCACAGGTCTAGGGCGCGGCATATGAGTGGCAGGATCGGTAGGCCTACCCAGTCCTCTTCTCTCGCTGTCTTATCCTGAACAAATCAGATACCCATTTTCACTGTTGGGTACGGGTCGTCAGAGAGAGTTTTCCAGTTTTTGGTTCGAATGGGATTTGAACCGCCAACCTTCCACTCCGTAGCTCCACGCTCTAACTGAGTGATTCAAGAATGACGAGCTTGTTCTAATCGGCCAGTGCCTGTATGCCTGTATGTTCTGTTAAAAAAACCTTTTTTTGTATCTATTTTGGACTTTTTAACCCTTTGAATGGACATTTTCCTTTTGGGTGGCTTTTTGCGTCCTTTATGCGCATAAAACGATTATTGTCGATCAGCAAGAAATTGGAAATTTGTAATATTCCATATTAAACTAGGGTTGATTTCTTGGTTCGATGTCTCATTCTAAAGTGAATGACGTTTGTATTACTTGAAAATTAGCAATTAAAACAAATCTGTACGGGGGAGAGCAACTTTTAAATCAGAACATTTTGTTTGGTTATAGGAAGAACCTCTTCATCGGCTGTCAATGCCGATAGTCCATGGGAAAGTAGTAAACGGTTTTTAAAAGGGTTTAATGTAGAAACATATAATTGTTGGAAATATTCAGAACGACGTACATTTCTATGAATCTAAGTTTTGATGTAAATGGAGGACATTCGTTATAAAAAAAAACACTTTCGAGACGAGATGATAGAGGCCATCCAAGTACGTACGCACGAATTGCCGACTTTTTAGACCCCGTGTACGTCACGTGTACAGTATGACAGTACGTACTCCCCATTTCTCCGCCCTGGCCTCCTTCGTGCGAGTGCAGTTTATGGACGGCCCGGCCCGACCCATTATATGCATAGTGCCTACCAAAAAAACGCGATTGGACGAGGTACGAAACAATCCCGCATTGATTCACCAAAACACAATAGACAAAAGGGTCAATTTCTAGCTTTTGTAAGTTGTACTTTTTTGCACTGGATCTCCACAATGAAACACACAAGGGGTTCTTTATTAGCTCAAGGACGCTGGAAAAATAAATCATATGAATCACTGAAAGAGTTGTGCTTGCGCGGACATCAAGCGTGGTTAATAAATTGACGATGTTGGTCGGTGCTTTGATGCTCTCGGATTGCGGGGATAATGTACGGGGCTCCTGAAGCCTGAGTATAGAGTGAGTGAATTCGCAAATGTCACCATCAAGACAAGTGTCAAGCTCGATCCTTATAACAACAGAGTTGACCCTAGGAGAAAATTTGCTTCTCAAGTTCTAATTCGTTAACCCTAAGGGGGCCGGGTTATTTTGACCATCTCTCAGCCGGGGGGGGGGGGGGGGGGCGGATTCCGCCCCCCCCCCTAAGATCTCGGCCATCGAGTGACGAAAAATTTTGAAACTCACCACATGCATAGAGCAACTCTTCCTAAACATGCCCAAGAAATTTCATGACTATAGGTCAAAGGGTTTTGTAATTATGGCTAATTAATTATTCATATGAATGAATGGCAATTCTGCTCGGTGTACACGACATATATGCGAAAATTCAGTTTTCACGGCGCGTAGCGCCGGAAAATCTTTCGCTACGTGCTAACCCGTGGTCCGATTTTTATGTTTTTGGTATCAAAAGATACGCAAAGCTCGAGGCTAAAAAGTCATAACAGCTCGGGTCGCGAAAAAATTTTTTTTAGAAGCTATCGCGGAAAATGTTGAGGGGGGGGCGGATTCCGCCCCCCCCCCGGCCCCTTTAGGGTTAAATCGTCAAGTCGGCCAAGAAATATACCCTCAAACATATCTTCTTCTTTTTTTTTACCCTCAAGTCCTTTGAATACAAGTCGATAGACCCTACCAGTACATATTGTTGACCCAAGAAATCCTTTTAAACCAAAATTTGAAATTTGATAAACCTGTATCATCATTGTCTTCGTCACATTGAGAATGATAAACCGAGGCATCCCTACGAAAAAAGGCTCGGTGCTCAATTTGACCAAAAGCACATAGAGGGCGCTTCCATAGACCTTGTCGCGTCGGCAGCGCGCGCCGAACCAAATCCGTACCCGTACCCGGCCGGGGGCGCGGCGTAGTAAAGAAATGGGCCGGTTAAGGGCACTGAGCTGAGGCATGTAATGCACGGTCACCCTTGCCCACCCCACCCCCTAGTTACGCCAATGCTTGTAAGTGGACATTTTCCGGCTTCTTTCTTTTGACTCCTTGTTCAGAGCATGGAGGTAGAATTCTACCTCCATGTTCAGTGCGTGGGGACAACAAGTTCAACTTTAATTCAGTGTCCAGTGGCAGTTTCCCACTGACATGACTGAAGCCTACATGGTCGCATAAAGCATGGATAATTTCTCCATGCATAAAGGCAGTTTGAAGACTGTTTTGGGGGTGAGATCTGACGATTTTGATAGGGGGTACGAGTGAAAATGGTCAAAAAAAGTTATAAGTATTAACACAATAAGTCTATGTACCTAGGACTAGTACTAGTCCGAAAATGTGTGACTCTCAATACTGTGTATGAGAGTCCTATCGTGCAAAAGTTTGTGCTGCATAATAAAACCAGTGTGAATCAAATTTGCAAGCTTCTTACTACAGTTTCTTCAATAATCCCTGAAACTTTTGCCTCGCAAAGTTGCTGTTGTGAGCATTGCCTCACCAAAAATTCAGCTTTTAATTCTAATTTTACAGAGAGTTATCAAAATCCAAACGTGAGACATCATGTTGATGTGTGCTGCAATGCATTGTGCAAAAAGACTCCTCAGCTACAACATTTTCATCGTGTAGATAAAACAGCGCCCTCTTGTTGATCAGAGTGAATTCAGAATGTTTCATTTTTTAACAGAGGGCGCTATGTTCTTTTGGCCATCGATTAAAAAACCAGTAAGCTGCAAGGCACTAAGTGCATCTACCCAGAATACCTTGTAAATCACATGCACGTCTCCAGATCGTGGAGGAGAATGACATGGATGGTTTTTGAACTGCCAAAAACCTGCCTTAAAATTGGATTTAAGGTCTCAAATTTTGCAGGTGACATGCTTGCAACTATATCATTTTGATGTATGTGTTGTATGGGCATTAATTAGCCAAATGGTGAGTATAAAAAACGTCAGTTGTAATTTTGCACGTTTTTATGCACTCACGGTCCCAGTCTGGGACTCTACTACTATCGCCCGACCATGTCCAAATGTTAAGAAAGGCGATTCGTAGAGTCCTAGTTACTCGGACTAAGCTAGCTCATGCTTGTTAAACAAGGACGTGTGTCCTGGGGCGCTCTCTGCTCTGAGTCTATTTCATTCGTCTGATGTTGACTTCTAGACCCGTGAACGTGGCTTGTAGACCCGTGAATGTGGCTTGTAAACTATGCCACGCTGTTGTGTATTTCTGAACCTGGCGAAATGGTCCCTCTGACTCCCTCCATTACACACACTGGACGTTATTTTGCAAATGTAATAAATACTCACATATGAAGCTGTCTAGAAATCTGTTTGTACATCAAAACTTGCATTTGACGAAATTTGAGGAAAATTCTGGCCCCGGTTTATGAAGTCCTGCTAGCTGCCATTTTCTCCCAAGTGACGCATGCGCATTGCGTTTTATTGTACCGTCCTTCGTATAATTCGACGGCTGTTTACTGTCGCAGCTAAAAGAGACATCGTTTTAGACAAGTTTCAAGTCCTTTCCTCTCTCACCGCACCGCACGCGGTGGGCGCACGTGCGCCCACGTGCGAGTGCGCACACGTACACGAGATGAGCCGAGCAGCCAATTGGGTGCGGGGTTTTTTTTTTTCGGGGTTGCGACATGAAACAGCCGTCAATCTGTCCAAGCGACTCGTCCGGGGTCATTTGTCAGGGTCATTTGTCGGGTTAAAATGAAATTTCTACACGTTCGTATGGGTCTTTACTGATGGGCAAATTTCGTCGAAATTACACAGCCTAAACAATCGGACGGGCAAATTTAGATTTCTAGGCGAGTACTCGACACCCATACGGAATTATGTATGTCGGATCGATTTCGCTAGGTTTTAAAATACACAACAACGTGGCGTTGTATACAACGCCACGTTCACGGGTCTAGTTGACTTCATGTTTTATTATATTAAACTGTTCATAGCCCATGATAATATTACGTTTAGTGTTATGCGTATGACTATGAGTTTGTGTCGCATGATAAATATTTACTCTGTATTTGCACTAACTATTGAGCGCCACATAAAGTTCTCTTTGGTAGCATTCAGGGGGTACTTTCATTCGTACTTCTGCTTTTAGTACTTCTGACTCCCAAAGATTTCATGTTTTCTGCAACCGAATCCTTGACCGACTCTCACATAAAGGTAAAGGTAAAGGTCCCACAGGTGGAGTGGGATGTTAGAGGTCCACTGTGTCTTGGGCGCGGCTAGACCTGTGAATTTGGCGTTTCGTTCACAGGTCTAGGGCGCGGCATATGAGTGGCAGGATCGGTAGGCCTACCCAGTTCTCTTCTCTCGCTGTCTTATCCTGAACAAATCAGATACCCATTTTCACTGTTGGGTACGGGTCGTCAGAGAGAGTTTTCCAGTTTTTGGTCCGAATGGGATTTGAACCGCCAACCGTCCACTCCGTAGCTCCAAGCTCTAACTGCTCGGCTACGAGGCCCCTCTCACATGTAGGTTAATACAAATTCATTTGATTTGTTTTATCAGGTGTAAATTCAGATGTGATCTCCATCGCTCAATCGTTCTTCACCGTGTCAGAGAATAGTGCTGTGACGATATATGCCACACGTAGTGGAGGGTCTACAGCTAGCTCTCTTCGGGGTGAGAACATCTCTCCGCTAAATTTCTGCACCACTGGGGGCTTTTAGAACATGAAAAAAGTTTTGACAACAATTGTAAAGGTGGCATGAAAGAAATTAAACTAAATTTAAGTAACATAGTGTGCATGTGATCGTCACCTGATATTTAAGAAAAGAAAGGACAGAAAACGTTCCGAAAATTATGTCAATAAACGGTAACACGTTGAGACCAATACTGAAAAAAACAGAGAATATAAAAATTATGCTGTCTCAAAGAACATTTTGCACCATAAACAGAATAAAATATGCTTAAAAGTATTTTTAATGCTTGCTGAGGTTCTTTGGTTTAAGATGAACAGTTATCAACAAAATCAACATTATCAAGCAAAAGTCAGTTTGGGTGTAGTTTGGGTGACTTGGGATAATAAACTTGACGTTATATTTTTGGTTACTCACGTTACAAAAGTTACTCACGTTACCAAATTTAGTTGCCTTTTATTCTTAAATGTGTATATTATAAAACACTTATATTAATATCTATGTTCATGCAAAGAATGATAATCCTAAATACCAAAATTTAATTTGTTAGAAATGTTGGTGAGAAAAAAACTTTTATATCTTTTCGGTTACTCACGTTACATTGACCAAAAAAAGGTATAAAATGCTACTTTTTGACATCTAAAAATGGATGGCGGCTGTGAATTGACATATGTTTCAGAGATTAAGACTATCATACACATGCTAGAAATAAGGTTATGATTGAAATATCTCTAATTGCATTAATAGCAATCAATGTTTAAACTTTACAATTTTTGTTTAGTTCTTTGTAGTAAAAACATATTTTTCACTTTGCGACACGATTTCTCAAAAAATGTTTGATAACATTTGGTTTTCTTTGTTAATTTCCCATACTTGAATGTATAATCTGTAATAAAAATGTGAAACTGGGTTAGAAAAATACAACTTTTTTTCTTAGCCATGTCCATCAAACCGTGGAATTGCCCAGTTGGCCCATTCTGTTAGGCAACACAATCAACATTTCTGGAAGGTTAGGCTAATCGCCCTCAAATTGGGCAAACAATTTTATTATTTTTTTCATTTTTGAAGCATATACTGAAGAGGGTGGAGCAACCTCTCCCGAAGACTTTGATGCATTTGATGATCTTCTGTCTTTTTCGAATGATGTTTTGGACGTTCCTGTGATGATTAAGGCTGATGAGATGCCGGAGCCCACCGAGTGCTTCATGGTGAACTTTGAGGAGCCCTCTGGCATCAGAGTCTCTTCCAATGTCACTATCTGCATCCGAGATGATGACGGTATGTTAGTAAATGATTGTGTGATTTGTACTTGATGTCGGCCCGGTTTATCCAATAGGCACAGTAGGCACTGTGCCTAGGGCCAACAAAAATGTGGGGGCCTACACAAAAATTGAGGCCCTAGGAAAAAATTGAGGGCCTACAAAAATACCAGTGTGTCAACATGCTTTTAGAGCTATCAGTTTGGCCTGTATTGCTTAGTACATCAAGTTGAAATTGGTGCTGGGGCCTACGAAACACTCAATACGGCCCTGCTTGAGGGGTTAACCCCAGTATAAAGCAAATCCCATAAACACCAGTTTTAAATCCCCATACTTCAAAAGTCTTTTAAAAATACTCTGAACTCTCACAGGCGTTCACGCTGCACAGAAAAAAGTGATGATCAACATGTGATCATTCCTTTTCTTTTTAATTAATGGTGGGTTGACCCATGATTTTTTTGAGAAATTCTCACCCAAAGAAGACCACTCCTAAAACGACTGATTTCCCAAACTTGAAAAGTAGCCAGTTTGAAAAAGGATCCCTCCACAACAAGGCTAAATAGCGCCACTTTCGAACCAAAGTGCATCCAAAATGCTCAGAATTGGATGCCCCAAGTCCAGGCCAGAGGTGCAGTGCCGTATGTCTTCAGCTCTCCCATTCCATGGCTCTCAGAACTCGCTAATATAGAATAATTTGAGTGTATAACTTTTTATTCATGAGCTCGGCAGACAGATTTTTGGCCTTTTCTTGGTTGTGCCCTGCGGAGCTCTTGGCCAAGGCCTGTCAATAAAAACATGATTTGTGCTTCTCCTCCAAACTTCGACAGTTGATTTGATATAATATGTTGTGTTTTTCGCTCTGATGGAGTTTGATGGAGGGTCTAGGTGAAGACTCCATTGCAAATATTAATGAATTACACTTTGTAGATTCATGGTAGATCGGTAAATCAGCATGAACTCATCGATTAGGAGTAATACAAAAAATCTGGAGCTTTGCCCTCATCACAGAGCCAGGCCCATTGACCTAAAACATGTTAATCTGTGGATGTTAAACCAAAGATGAGGCTGGTTTCCTTACTTAATGACTAGATACTTCAAAACGTACACCTCAGAATTGTACGTCTTTCTTGACTGAATATAAGCTACAGTATCTACCTTTACCATTTGCATTCATGCTGATGAAGGTTAGTCTCGGTATAGACATTATGGCGCATGTGTTTTCTGAGAGGATGAGATCTCTGCCCGTCTGGCATTAAATCAGTACTCAAAATTTGTCCAATTATTGAGATTGTCCCGATGAGAATCAAAGGATCTACTTCATGATGTGAAAGCTTGTTTTAACTTAGGTTAGGCTACTTAATAATTATAGAAATGTACGTCTGCTTTTCTTGAAACATCACGAGGCATCGTCACAGTAGGCATACTCTGAATAGGTTTTCAAAAAAAGGTCCGCAGTGTACTCATAGAATTATCCAACTGCACATTCAGTATTATTCATATAAACTGCTGCTTGGGTAGCACAATGCATGCGCAGATGGTACGCGCACTCGGTGCTCTATCGACCAATGAGGTTTTCGAATTACCCACATGCCTTAATTAAGAACCCGTGCAGCGTGGGCGTGAGCGACGTGCTACCAGTCATGGCTTCTTATTTTGAAAGTTGGATCATGCATTATCACCGATTATTGTCTCTCTCTAGATCCGTGCACTTGCCCTACTTGTGATGCTGACCAGTGTCAGAATGGCGGTACGTGTATGGATGCAGGAGAAGCAGACATCTCATGTCAATGTCCTGGGGATTGGAGAGGAAGCAGGTGTCACATACCAGGTGAGGCCTGAACATGTATACTTGTTCCGTAGTTGTGGGGACTACACACTATAGTTGTCCCATGGTACTATTGAGACTGAAGAGGCTGTGGAGACAGCAGAAAGTCCCCATAACTTGGTCCTAATTTGCCCAACAATAAAAGAAACTTCCCATAATGCCTTGACGGCCCGCCCACAGCCATTAAGGTGCCCCTGTCAAAGAGGTACATGCCTACATGGCTGCTATTCATGGGTTAACCCTAACCCCCTAGGCCCTTGTTGCTTACAACCATCCTCAATCCTCCAAAATCCTCCAAAATTTTCCAAAATTTTGCAACTCCGCCTAAATTTTTCAAAATTGTCAGACAGTCCTGCCTCAAAATGCATTCATCCTCAATCCTCCAAAATCCTCCTCATCCCAAAACTTTGCACTCGTGTTTAAATGAAGGATAACCAACGCCAAATCCTTCAAAATCATCAGACAGTCCTGCCTCAAAATGCATTCATCCTCAATCCTCCAAAATCCTCTTGTGCTTCAATCACCATTCATCCTCAATCCTCCAAAATCCTCATGTGCTTCAATCACCATTCATCCTCAATCCTCCAGAATCCTCATTTGATTCAATCACCATTCATCCTCAATCCTCTAGAATCCTCCAAAACCGCCAGGAGGATTTTGGAGGAGTGAGGTGGGTTAGGGTTAATGTGCGTTCCAGTCTTTTTCTATTATCAAGACATTGACAAGACTTTTTTTGCTTCACTATCTCAGCCATCTTTCCTGTTTGAAATTGCAAATTGGAATTGCAAATTAGCATTGACGCCTATCCTCGATTGCAAGTTCCAATGGATATATTGCCAAGACCCATATGCCGAGATTTTGTTGACCACTAAAGATTATTACTTCTTAGTTTTACAATGTTTGTTTTAAATTTGGGGAAGTTATATTTTTCATTAGTTTTTGTAACATTCCATCAAACAGAACAAAAAGGGGCTATTGTGATTTTATAGATAACATTCAATGGGTTTTCAAGGAAGCATTAATTAATACTGTAGTGAGTCCTCCAGTTACTTTGTGAATCAAATTTCATGTGTCATAAAAAGAATGAAGACGATAGACTACAGATCTTTAGAAATGAGAAGGTTGCTGTTCTTTGATTGCTTCATGATTTTGAGAGAGAATGGCTTCAAATCATTGAACAAGCAGTAAGAAAATGAAAGAACTAAGATCGTTCTGTTCTGTTGTCCACTGAAGGGCAGTGCATCTTGCAAACTGATGACTGCTTGCAAGAATGCGTGGGTGTCGTGGGAGGATCTTTCGAGTGCGCTTGCTACGATAACTTCACGCTTCAGAATGACAGTTCTTGCTCACGTAAGTTGAATGACACATACAAAGGCACCCACGTGTAGTTGGGTCATTCCACCGGGTTGGGGAACAAAGTGTGACATATGACCATATTAAGAAAAGCATGAATGCCTTGCTAGCAGTTGCTCTACATAACATTTGTTGTTGGGTGTTTCACGACTGCAGAAAGTTTGAAATGATTTCGATGTATTTTGCCAAAAATATGAGCAAAAAATGTCATTTTGGACGTAACATTGACACCGTGTCAGTTTTACGTCCAAATATGACATTTGTACCTTTTTTTTAATTTCTGCAAAACATTACCCAAATTCACTTTGCGTACTTCTTACTATACATGCAACACAATAATAAAAGCTTTTGTTACGGTAGTCAGGTATCAAATGGAGCAGAAATGATAGCTTGGTTGTGTGGACGTAACATTTACATGGTGTAAAACCCAAATGTCACACTTCCATTGAGTGATTTTTACACCGTTACATCCACACTTGAGGTATTGTTTCTGCGATATTTGAACCCTGACTATACCCAAACAAAAGCTTTTCTTGGTGCTTAGGTGTCCAGTTGTAAATATGCAATGTCAGTTTGGGTAATATTTTACATACGTGTACAAAATAGTAAAAAAAAAAATTTGGATGTAACATTGACACGGTGTCAATGTTACGTCCAAATTAATAAATTTTTGCTCATATTTTTGTCAAAGTTCTTTCAAATGATTTCAAACTTTCTCAAATATTGAAACACCCTAAGACAAATATTATGTTGAGCAATTGTTTAGAATGCATTGATACTTTTGTAACATGCACTGCTTCCCAACCTGGTGAAATGACCTAATTACTTTGTGCTTTGCTGTGTTTGCAAAGTGTGATTTATGGAGTTCATGATGGTTAAGTAAAGGATCGATTTCAAAGTATGAACAGGTGTCATCAACAACTGTTTATCTCTTCAAAGATTATACTTCCTAATTTGTAAATATCCAACCTCCAAAATATCTTAACAAAAGATTCCTTTGACATGCCCGTCGCTTATAAGCCTACCGTGAACTATAGTTTAAAATGCATACATTGTTTTCTATAGAAATTTTTAAAAAGGGAATGTAATCGATTTCACCAATCATTCATTTTCTTTTGTTGACCAGCTCAATTTGCTTGCAGTAGTTGCGTCAATGGCATCTGTGTCTATAGGGCTAACGCAGTATGCGAGTGTAATCGTGGGTATAGACTGAACGCTGGAGATGCCTTTCAGTGCGATGGTAAGATACAGTTGTGATTGTCTTGTATTATTAGTTTCGATTGGTAGGCCTATATTTCATTGTTTCTATTTGTAAATTTACAGTCTGTCTTACCTATCATGCTCCATTGAGCACCCCCCAAAAAATCGATTATTTACACATTGTTTACCGTTGGCTAGATATTTCTTGAAACTTCTTTGAGTTAATGGTAGCCATGATCATGAAGATCATGAAACTCCCTTAGGCCTATGTGTGTTGGTGTTAGTAGACAATAGTAAATGGCATACAACATGCTTCGGGGAACATTATACAAATATTGAATGCTTCGAGTGGTGTAGTAAAACTAGCCTCCCGAGGTGATCCATGGCCATTCTAGTTGAAATAAACTTCAATTTCAATACAAAATTGGTGGAAAATGTTTTTCTCTCTTCCAAACTACCCCTTCACGAAATGTTTGAACCCAACTCTGCGGCGTGCTCTCTTTGGAACAATACGCGCTACCACAACGCGCAAGCGCACACAAGCATCCATTTGCACACAAATACCGCGCAGTGGAAATAGTACTTTGGTTGCCAATGGTATAATACTTTGGTTGCTACGGGTATAGTACTTTTGGCCGTGCACAGAAAGATAGCAAAATTAGAAAGTAACATGTGACTCGCTCTCGGCCAATCGAAGACACAGAATCTGTGGGTGAGGTCTTATAATGAATGATATCATTGATGTGGATATCTAACGGAAAGCAGACGACAATTTTCTGGCCAACGTATAGACTTACTTTTCCGTGGTTTCCTTAATGTAGACATCGACGAATGTTTTGAGCTGACTGATCGCTGTGATGAAAACAGCCGTTGCAATAACACTGTAGGGGGGAGCTACGAGTGCATTTGTGACGAAGCCTACGTACTAAACGCCGACCGACGCTCTTGCACTGGTAAGAAATACTGTCCAAAGTTTAGTAATGTTTAAATCAGGAGAGGTGTTGCTTAGAAAATGGTCCAACTCGCATTCCAATGACAATAGATTGCAGTCAGCTGTTGTTGGCGTACGTTTGACTGTTTTGCTGTCTAACATGGACTGCAGCATTTTTAATACGTTTATCATTACTTATCAATAATTAACAGGAACGTTTGTCAGGAATGTTTGAAGGAAAGATTTAACGGCCTTCCAAGTTCATTCTCAGGATATTGTCATTCTCAACTCTTCTCCAGCAACTTCAGTTAATTTTCAAATAACGCTTGGTATCTCGCAACCACATGTTCAAGTCAAACCTAATTTGCGACACAAAAACGCGCACTCCTTTATATACTGACGATTGCTCCTTATTCCTGATTGTAAAGAAAAATAAAAGGGCTACTGCAGTGATGCAGTGTTTTTTTTTTATCTGAATCTGACATTTCACTTGATTTGTAGTTGATAGCGGTAGCCTGTGTGGGACGGTGGGCGGATTTGGTTGTAGTTGCTCTTCTTCCTTTGACTTTATCAACGGAACGCTAGTGACGACTGAGCGATGCTTCTGCAGTCAAGTCGGATGGGGCGGACCCACCTGTCAGACAGGTACAAAATGTCACCACTAACAATTAGAAATTTATCATTTTCATCAACTCAATTCAATTCAATTTGACTTTATTATCCCTGACGGGAAACTCCATTGGCCTTTTACATTGAACAAGTTAATGACAATTTTAAGAACCTTCCATATTCACTATTCCAATCCCATGAATTCGGAAGACTGTGTTAAAAGATAAAATACTGCACAGAACCTAAAAAAAGATCCTTTTCTTCTTATTTTTACCTTTTAAATAACTAAAGTGAGCAAGGAACATTTCTTTCAAGACGTAAGGCCTGTCTTGGGTGTGTGTTGTGGAGAACAAGGCAGTTTCGAAATCTGATGAATGAAGGACTGTGAGCCTTTTTTGAGTTAACTTGTTGTGTTTATGGAAGGTTAAACTCTCGATCTTTTTGTTATTATTCTCTCGGACAGAAATAAACTGTGGGGCTGACACACCGACATCTGTCTGCGTAAACGGTGGAACATGCACCGAGATTCCACCTTCCTGGAAAGGTCTTCGCTACTGCAGATGCTTGTCTGGATTTACGGGCAAAGTCTGTGGTAAATACCCCCCCCCCCCCCCCCACGGCCCCAATCCCTCAACTATCTTGATTTTTGACACAGAGTCCAGATTGTTGGTTCTTTAAATTTAGTGTGTGGATTCACATTACATTCATGCTTGCTGGTAAAATTGTATTACTATGGTGGGTGATAATGGAGGAAGTTCGAAATGGCTTGCATTGGGGTGCCTTAGTGGTCATTTGGAAGGACTCGTTTTTAGGAGGTACGTGGTTCCAATCCTGTCTAAAGACTTCCCTTTTTTTTTCAGAAATAAATTTGACTGGAATCCTGCTGCTGCACAATTTTTACGTGTTTTAAGATAGGGTTACGATCGAGTGTAAGCTTAGTGGGGCCTCTCTTGACTCCCATATAATTTTGCACTGAATTTAGTCGGGCACCATTTGCAGACGGTGTTTTAATTTTGTAATTTGTCTGGAAGCCAGACTTAGGGAGCGATGGTCGTGTATCGAAACCTGTAAACGCATGATAGCCCCATTGTCATTTCTCCTGCATGTATATTCTAATCGTGTACTCCGTCGTATAGTACTCGCACGACGCACGACAAACATACTGTTTTATATCATTGCAGAAATTACTTGTCCAGCTGACATTCAAGTTTACGAATTGTCCGGTCAAGGACGAGCAAATGTGGTGTGGTCACCTGGGCTGTACAGCAATCACACCAAGTTTGGTGCATTGACCGCAAACGACTTCATCTGCACGAATCAGAGTGGCCATCGAGTGTCGTCTGGCGGCTCGTACTTGCTGGGCGAGAGCAGTGTGAGTTGCCAGCCGAATCGGACTGTTACTCGCTCGAGAGGATCCTGTGAGTTCACCGTCACAGTGCTGCTAGGTAATATATCAATTCTCTTTATGCCCCTATCAATTGTTTCCCCCACACCTCCCCCGGGCTGTCCCACCCAAGACGTGGGGATTGTTACTTTTGAAGTGACAAAATCCCCACCCCCTCGGGCAAAATTTAAGTGACAATCCCCGACCATGCCCCGACTTACATACGCGGGGCGCACTAGCGATTGCCTTTCTATGTAGTACCCAATGTTAACAGTGTAATTGGAGTAACCAAAATCCCCACCTTGGGACATGAAAAACGTGACCAAATCCCGACATCGGACCTGGGGTGGGAGGGGGGGGGGGCATTTGATAGGGGCATTAGTTCTGTTAAAGGGACTAATTTTACTTAAGAACTTATATATAATGCCCGTACAGCTAGAACAGCTTCATATATACTTACGACTCAACAGCTAAACATACCAGAGCAACCCCAGTACAACTAAACAGACTTTGTACTAATCGCCTAAGCAATTACACATGCGCAGAGTACAAGTAATTCACCTACTTCTCTGCTTTTACCATCTTCCAATGAGGAGCACCCAAAAAAAAATCAATTATTTACACATTGTTTACCGTTGGCTAGATATTTCTTGAAACTTCTTTGAGTTAATGGTAGCCATGATCATGAAGATCATGAAACTCCCTTAGGCCTATGTGGGTTGGTGTTAGTAGACAATAGTAAATGGCATACAACATGCTTCAGGGAACATTATACAAATATTGAATGCTTCGAGTGGTGTAGTAAAACTAGCCTCCCAAGGTGATCCATGGCCATTCTATTTTCCCGAGGCGAAGCCGAGGGAAAATATTAATGGTCCATGGATCATCGAGGGACGCTAGTTTTAATTCACCCACAGATTCTGCTTGATTTTAATATTTTAAATTATTGAAATCTGAACAAAGTTGAAATAAACTTCAATTTCAATACAAAATTGGTGGAAAATGTATTTCTCTCTTCCAAACTACCCCTTCACGAAATGTTTGAACCCAACTCTGCGGCGCGCACTCTTTGGAACAATACGCGCTACCACAACGCGCAACGCGCACACAAGCATCCATTTGCACACAAATACCGCGCTGTGGAAATAGTACTTTGGTTGACAATGGTATAGTACTTTGGTTGCTACGGGTATAGTACTTTTGGCCGTGCACAGAAAGATAGCAAAATTAGAAAGTAACATGTGACTCGCTCTCGGCCAATCAAAGACACAGAATCGATGGGTGAGGTCTTATAATGAATGATATCATTGATGTGGATATCTAACGGAAAGCAGACGACAATTTTCTGGCCAACGTATAGACTTACTTTTCCGTGGTTTCCTTAATGTAGACATCGACGAATGTTTTGAGCTGACTGATCGCTGTGATGAAAACAGCCGTTGCAATAACACCGCAGGGAACTACGAGTGCATTTGTGACGAAGCCTACGTACTAAACGCCGACCGACGCTCTTGCACTGGTAAGAAATACTATCCAAAGTTTAGTAATGTTTAAATCAGGAGAGGTGTTGCTTAGAAAATGGTCCAACTCGCATTCCAATGACAATAGATTGCAGTCAGCTGTTGTTGGCGTACGTTTGACTGTTTTGCTGTCTAACATGGACTGCAGCATTTTTAAAACGTTTATCATTACTTATCAATAATTAACAGGAACGTTTGTCAGGAATGTTGGAAGGAAAGATTTAAAGGCCTTCCAACTTCATTCTCAGGATATTGTCATTCTCAACACTTCTCCAGCAACTTCAGTTAATTTTCAAATAACGCTTGGTATATCGCAACCACATGTTCAAGTCAAACTTAATTTGCGACACAAAAACGCGCTCTCCTTTATATACTGACGATTGCTCCTTATTCCTGATTGTAAAGAAAAATAAAAGGGCTACTGCAGTGATAATGTGTTTTTTTATGCCCCGCGGCGAAGCCGAAGGGGCATACTGTTTCCGCCTTGTCCTTCCGTGGGTGGGTGTGTGGGTGGGTGTGTTCCTGCATGGCATTACGCCTGAGGACAGACAACAAAAGGAGCACAAAGGGGCCATTGATCCTCGAAGGAAGGTGCCTATTGTCCTCGAACGCAGGTTTGTGTGCTTAGTCTATGGGAGAGTATTATATTACAGGGACAAAGGAAAACACAAAGCCAATCCTCGGAAGCATAGCAAAAAACGACTTGGTGTGGGTGGGTGTGTGGGTGGGTGGGTGTGTGTGTGTGTGTGTCCAGACAAATCTTGTCAGCGCGATAACTTGAGAAATACTTAACATATGAACTTCAAATTTGGTTTGTGGATTGTTCTTGGTAATCCTAAGAAGCCTTTTGCATTTGGGGCCAAAAGGCCAAAGGTCAAGTTCACAGTGGCTAAAACAATAGAAATCTTGTCAGCGCGATAACTTGAGAAATACTTAACATATGAACTTCAAATTTGGTTTGTGGATTGTTCTTGGTAATCCTAAGAAGCCTTTTGCATTTGGGGCCAAAAGGCCAAAGGTCAAGTTCACAGTGGCTAAAACAATAGAAATCTTGTCAGCGCGATAACTTGAGAAATACTTTACATGTGAACTTCAAATTTGGTTTGTGGATTGTTTTTGGCAATCCTAAGAAGCCTTTTGCTTTGGGGCCAAAAGGCCTAAGGTCAAGTTCACAGTGGCTAAAACAATAGAAATCTTGTCAGCGCGATAACTTGAGAAATACTTTACATGTGAACTTCAAATTTGGTTTGTGGATTGTTCTTGGCAATCCTAAGGAGCCTATTGCATTTTGGGCCAAAAGGTCAAGGGTCAAGTTCACAGTGGCTAAAACAATAGAAATCTTGTCAGCGCGATAACTTGAGAAATACTTAACATATGAACTTCAAATTTGGTTTGTGGATTGTTCTTGGTAATCCTAAGAAGCCTATTGAATTTGGGGCCAAAAGGTCAAGGGTCAAGTTCACAGTGGCTAAAACAATAGAAATCATGTATACATTCTGAGATTATAGGGATTAGGGATTAATTCATGTAAAACCTACAGAAGACACTAATGCTGTCAATGAATGTTCCATGTGACCAAGGTACATGTAAGTTGATGTTAAAAGAGTGGTGTTATGTCATGGGAACTGTCACCGTTGCGGGGCATTTGTGTTTGTAAACACACCTGACTTGTTTTATTTGAATCTGACATTTTACTTGATTTGTAGTTGATAGCGGTAGCCTCTGTGGGACGGGCGTAGTTGGTTGTGATTGCATTACTGGCATTGAGCTTATCAACGGAATGGCAGTGACGCATGTGCGATGCTCCTGCAGTGTCGGATGGGGCGGACCCACCTGTCAGACAGGTACAAAATGTCACCACTAACAATTAGAAATTTGTCATTTTCATAAACTCAATTCAATTCAATTTGACTTTATTATCCCTGACGGGAAATTCCATTGGCCTTTTACATTGAACAAGTTAATGACAATTTTAAGAACCTTCCATATTCACTATTCCAATCCCATGAATTCGGAAGACTGTGTTAAAAGATAAAATACTGAACAGAACCTAAAAAAAGACCCTTTTCTTCTTATTTTTACCTTTTCAATAACTAAAGTGAGCAAGGAACATTTCTTTCAAGACGTAAGGCCTATCTTGGGTGTGTGTTGTGGAGAACAAGGCAGTTTTGAAATCTGATGAATGAAGTACTGTGAGCCTTTTTTGAGTTAACTTGTTGTGTTTATGGAAGGTACTCTCGATCTTTTTGTTATTATTCTCTCGGACAGAAATAAACTGTGGGGCTGACACACCGACATCTGTCTGCGTAAACGGTGGAACATGCATCGAGATTCCACCTTCCCGGAATGGTCGTCGCAAGTGCAGATGCTTGTCTGGATTTACGGGCAAAGTCTGTGGTAAATACCCCCCCCCCCCACGGCCCCAATCCCTTAACTATCTTGGTTTATGACACAGAGTCCAGATTGTTGGTTCTTCAAATTAAGTGTGTGGATTCACATTACATTCATGCTTGCTGGTAAAATTGTATTAATATGGTGGGTGATAATGGAGGAAGTTCGAAATGGCTTGCGTTGGGGTGCCTTAGTGGTCATTTGGAAGGACTCGTTTTTAGGAGGTACGTGGTTCGAATCCTGTCTAAAGACTTCCCTTTTTTTTGAGAAATAAAAAAAGTTTAACAGTTGCAAAAGGGCAACTTTGAAAGAATTTATTATTGCGCTAGAATTTGTGCCATTGAAGTTATTTTAAAAAGGCCAAAAAAAGTCTCCGGTTTCAGGTCTACGCGCGCATCACTGTAGCCATGCGCGTCGGCAAAATTAAAAAGTTTTTATTTTCAATGTAAGATGATGTCTCAAAACTGCCAAACTCACTGGTTTGACTGGAATCCTGCTGCTACACAATTTTTACGTGTTTTAAGATAGGGTTATGATCGAGTGTAAGCTTAGTGGGGCCTCTCTTGACTCCCATATAATTTTGCACTAAATTTAGTCGGGCACCATTTGCAGACGGTGTTTTAATTTTGTAATTTGTCTGGAAGCCAGACTTAGGGTGCGATGGTCGTGTATCGAAACCTGTAAATGCATGATAGCCCCATTGTCATTTCTCCTGCATGTATATTCTAATCGTGTACTCCGTCGTTGTATAGTACTCGCACGACAAACATACTGTCTTATATCATTGCAGAAATTACTTGTCCAGCTGACATTCAAGTTTACGAATTGTCCGGTCAAGGACGAGCAAATGTGGTGTGGTCACCTGGGCTGTACAGCAATCACGACAAGTTTGGTGCATTGACCGCAAACGACTTCATCTGCACGAATCAGAGTGGCCATCGAGTGTCGTCTGGCGGCTCGTACTTGCTGGGCGAGAGCAGTGTGAGTTGCCAGCCGAATCGGACTGTTACTCGCTCGAGAGGATCCTGTGAGTTCACCGTCACAGTGCTGCCAGGTAATATATCAATTCTCTTTATGCGCCTATCAATTGTTTCCCCCACGCCTCCCCCGGGCTGTCCCACCCAAGACGTGGGGATTGTTACTTTTGCTACTACAGAAAGATAGCAAAATTAGAAAGTAACATGTGACTCGCTCTCGGCCAATTGAAGACACAGAATCTGTGGGTGAGGTCTTTTAATGAATGATATCATTGATGTGGATATCTAACGGAAAGCAGACGACAATTTTCTGGCCAACGTATAGACTTACTTTTCCATGGTTTCCTTAATGTAGACATCGACGAATGTTTTGAGCTGACTGATCGCTGTGATGAAAACAGCCGTTGCAATAACACTGTAGGGGGGAGCTACGAGTGCATTTGTGACGAAGCCTACGTACTAAACGCCGACCGACGCTCTTGCACTGGTAAGAAATACTATCCAAAGTTTAGAGTTGTTTAAATCAGGAGAGGTGTTGCTTAGAAAATGGTCCAACTCGCATTCCAATGACAATAGATTGCAGTCAGCTGTTGTTGGCGTACGTTTGACTGTTTTGCTGTCTAACATGGACTGCAGCATTTTTAAAACGTGTATCATTACTTATCAATAATTAACAGGAACGTTTGTCAGGAATGTTTGAAGGAAAGATTTAACAGCCTTCCAAGTTCATTCTCAGGATATTGTCATTCTCAACACTTCTCCAGCAACTTCAGTTAATTTTCAAATAACGCTTGGTATCTCGCAACCGCATGTTCAAGTCAAACTTAATTTGGGACACAAAAACGCGCACTCCTTTATATACTGACGATTGCTCCTTATTCCTGATTTTAAAGAAAAATAAAAGGGCTACTGCAGTGATAATGTGTTTTTTTTTATCTGAATCTGACATTTCACTTGATTTGCAGTTGATAGCGGTAGCCTGTGTGGGACGGGCGTTGTTGGTTGTGATTGCATTACTGGCATTGATTTTATCAACGGAATGGCAGTGACGACTGTGCGATGCTCCTGCAGCGTTGGATGGGGCGGACCCACCTGTCAGACAGGTACAAAATGTCACCACTAACAATTAGAAATGTGTCATTTTCATCAACTCAATTCAATTCACTTTGACTTTATTATCCCTGACAGGAAATTCCATTGGCCTTTTACATTGAACAAGTTAATGACAATTTTAAGAACCTTCCATATTCACTATTCCAATCCCATGAATTCGGAAGACTGTGTTAAAAGATAAAATACTGCACAGAACCTAAAAAAAGACCCTTTTCTTCTTATTTTTACCTTTTAAATAACTAAAGTGAGCAAGGAACATTTCTTTCAAGACGTAAGGCCTGTCTTGGGTGTGTGATGTGGAGAACAAGGCAGTTTCGAAATCCGATGAATGAAGGACTGTGAGCCTTTTTTGAGTTAACTTGTTGTGTTTGTGGAAGGTACTCTCGATCTTTTTGTTATTATTCTCTCGGACAGAAATAAACTGTGGGGCTGACACACCGACATCTGTCTGCGTAAACGGTGGAACATGCATCGAGATTCCACTTTCCCGGAATGGTCGTCGCAAGTGCAGATGCTTGTCTGGATTTACGGGCAAAGTCTGTGGTAAATACCCCCCCCCCCACGGCCCCAATCCCTTAACTATCTTGGTTTATGACACAGAGTCCAGATTGTTGGTTCTTCAAATTAAGTGTGTGGATTCACATTACATTCATGCTTGCTGGTAAAATTGTATTACTATGGTGGGTGATAATGGAGGAAGTTCGAAATGGCTTGCGTTGGGGTGCCTTAGTGGTCATTGGGAAGGATTGGTTTTTAGGAGGTACGTGGTTCGAATCCTGTCTAAAGACTTCCCTTTTTTTTCAGAAATAAAAAAAAGTTTAACAGTTGCAAAAGGGCAACTTTGAAAGATTTTATTATTGCGCTAGAATTTGTGCCATTGAAGTTATTTTAAAAAGGCCAAAAAAAGTCTCCGGTTTCAGGTCTACGTGCGCATCACCGTAGCCATGCGCGTCGGCAAAATTAAAAAGTTTTTATTTTCAATGTAAGATGATGTCTCAAAACTGCCAAACTCACTGGTTTGACTGGAATCCTGCTGCTGCACACTTTTTACGTGTTTTAAGATAGGGTTATGATCGAGTGTAAGCTTAGTGGGGCCTCTCTTGACTCCCATATAATTTTGCACTAAATTTAGTCGGGCACCATTTGCAGACGGTGTTTTAATTTTGTAATTTGTCTGGAAGCCAGACTTAGGGAGCGATGGTCGTGTATCCTGTAAACGCATGATAACCCCATTGTCATTTCTCCTGCATGTATATTCTAATCGTGTACTCCGTCGTTGTATAGTACTCGCACGACAAACATACTGTCTTATATCATTGCAGAAATTACTTGTCCAGGTGACATTCAAGTTTACGAATTGTCCGGTCAAGGACGAGCAAATGTGGTGTGGTCACCTGGGCTGTACAGCAATCACACCAAGTTTGGTGCATTGACCGCAAACGACTTCATCTGCACGAATCAGAGTGGCCATCGAGTGTCGTCTGGCGGCTCGTACTTGCTGGGCGAGAGCAGTGTGAGTTGCCAGCCGAATCGGACTGTTACTCGCTCGAGAGGATCCTGTGAGTTCACCGTCACAGTGCTGCCAGGTAATATATCAATTCTCTTTATGCGCCTATCAATTGTTTCCCCCACGCCTCCCCCGGGCTGTCCCACCCAAGACGTGGGGATTGTTACTTTTGCTACTACAGAAAGATAGCAAAATTAGAAAGTAACATGTGACTCGCTCTCGGCCAATTGAAGACACAGAATCTGTGGGTGAGGTCTTTTAATGAATGATATCATTGATGTGGATATCTAACGGAAAGCAGACGACAATTTTCTGGCCAACGTATAGACTTACTTTTCCATGGTTTCCTTAATGTAGACATCGACGAATGTTTTGAGCTGACTGATCGCTGTGATGAAAACAGCCGTTGCAATAACACTGTAGGGGGGAGCTACGAGTGCATTTGTGACGAAGCCTACGTACTAAACGCCGACCGACGCTCTTGCACTGGTAAGAAATACTATCCAAAGTTTAGTAATGTTTAAATCAGGAGAGGTGTTGCTTAGAAAATGGTCCAACTCGCATTCCAATGACAATAGATTGCAGTCAGCTGTTGTTGGCGTACATTTGACTGTTTTGCTGTCTAACATGGACTGCAGCATTTTTAAAACGTGTATCATTACTTATCAATAATTAACAGGAACGTTTGTCAGGAATGTTTGAAGGAAAGATTTAACAGCCTTCCAAGTTCATTCTCAGGATATTGTCATTCTCAACACTTCTCCAGCAACTTCAGTTAATTTTCAAATAACGCTTGGTATCTCGCAACCACATGTTCAAGTCAAACTTAATTTGGGACACAAAAACGCGCACTCCTTTATATACTGACGATTGCTCCTTATTCCTGATTTTAAAGAAAAATAAAAGGGCTACTGCAGTGATAATGTGTTTTTTTTTATCTGAATCTGACATTTCACTTGATTTGCAGTTGATAGCGGTAGCCTCTGTGGGACGGGCGTAGTTGGTTGTGATTGCATTACTGGCATTGAGCTTATCAACGGAATGGCAGTGACGCATGTGCGATGCTCCTGCAGTGTCGGATGGGGCGGACCCACCTGTCAGACAGGTACAAAATGTCACCACTAACAATTAGAAATTTGTCATTTTCATTAACTCAATTCAATTCAATTTGACTTTATTATCCCTGACGGGAAATTCCATTGGCCTTTTACATTGAACAAGTTAATGACAATTTTAAGAACCTTCCATATTCACTATTCCAATCCCATGAATTCGGAAGACTGTGTTAAAAGATAAAATACTGAACAGAACCTAAAAAAAGACCCTTTTCTTCTTATTTTTACCTTTTAAATAACTAAAGTGAGCAAGGAACATTTCTTTCAAGACGTAAGGCCTATCTTGGGTGTGTGTTGTGGAGAACAAGGCAGTTTCGAAATCTGATGAATGAAGGACTGTGAGCCTTTTTTGAGTTAACTTGTTGTGTTTATGGAAGGTACTCTCGATCTTTTTGTTATTATTCTCTCGGACAGAAATAAACTGTGGGGCTGACACACCGACATCTGTCTGCGTAAACGGTGGAACATGCATCGAGATTCCACCTTCCCGGAATGGTCGTCGCAAGTGCAGATGCTTGTCTGGATTTACGGGCAAAGTCTGTGGTAAATACCCCCCCCCCCCCCACGGCCCCAATCCCTCAACTATCTTGGTTTTTGACACAGAGTCCAGATTGTTGGTTCTTCAAATTAAGTGTGTGGATTCACATTACATTCATGCTTGCTGGTAAAATTGTATTACTATGGTGGGTGATAATGGAGGAAGTTCGAAATGGCTTGCGTTGGGGTGCCTTAGTGGTCATTTGGAAGGACTCGTTTTTAGGAGGTACGTGGTTCGAATCCTGTCTAAAGACTTCCCTTTTTTTTCAGAAATAAAAAAAGTTTAACAGTTGCAAAAGGGCAAGTTTGAAAGAATTTATTATTGCGCTAGAATTTGTGCCATTGAAGTTATTTTAAAAAGGCCAAAAAAAGTCTCCGGTTTCAGGTCTACGCGCGCATCACTGTAGCCATGCGCGTCGGCAAAATTAAAAAGTTTTTATTTTCAATGTAAGATGATGTCTCAAAACTGCCAAACTCACTGGTTTGACTGGAATCCTGCTGCTGCACAATTTTTACGTGTTTTAAGATAGGGTTACGATCGAGTGTAAGCTTAGTGGGGCCTCTCTTGACTCCCATATAATTTTGCACTAAATTTAGTCGGGCACCATTAGCAGACGGTGTTTTAATTTTGTAATTTGTCTGGAAGCCAGACTTAGGGAGCGATGGTCGTGTATCAAAACCTGTAAACGCATGATAGCCCCATTGTCATTTCTCCTGCATGTATATTCTAATCGTGTACTCCGTCGTTGTATAGTACTCGGACGACGCAGACAAACATACTGTTTTATATCATTGCAGAAATTACTTGTCCAGCTGACATTCAAGTTTACGAATTGTCCAGTCAAGGACGAGCAAATGTGGTGTGGTCACCTGGGCTGTACAGCAATCACGACAAGTTTGGTGCATTGACCGCAAACGACTTCATCTGCACGAATCAGAGTGGCCATCGAGTGTCGTCTGGCGGCTCGTACTTGCTGGGCGAGAGCAGTGTGAGTTGCCAGCCGAATCGGACTGTTACTCGCTCGAGAGGATCCTGTGAGTTCACCGTCACAGTGCTGCCAGGTAATATATCAATTCTCTTTATGCCCCTATCAATTGTTTCCCCCATGCCTCCCCCGGGCTGTCCCACCCAAGACGTGGGGATTGTTACTTTTGCTACTACAGAAAGATAGCAAAATTAGAAAGTAACATGTGACTCGCTCTCAGCCAATTGAAGACACAGAATCTGTGGGTGAGGTCTTTTAATGAATGATATCATTGATGTGGATATCTAACGGAAAGCAGACGACAATTTTCTGGCTAACGTATGGACTTACTTTTCCATGGTTTCCTTAATGTAGACATCGACGAATGTTTTGAGCTGACTGATCGCTGTGATGAAAACAGCCGTTGCAATAACACTGTAGGGGGGAGCTACGAGTGCATTTGTGACGAAGCCTACGTACTAAACGCCGACCGACGCTCTTGCACTGGTAAGAAATACTATCCAAAGTTTAGTAATGTTTAAATCAGGAGAGGTGTTGCTTAGAAAATGGTCCAACTCGCATTCCAATGACAATAGATTGCAGTCAGCTGTTGTTGGCGTACGTTTGACTGTCTTGCTGTCTAACATGGACTGCAGCATTTTTAAAACGTTTCATCATTACTTATCAATAATTAACAGGAACGTTTGTCAGGAATGTTTGAAGGAAAGATTTAACGGCCTTCCAAGTTCATTCTCAGGATATTGTCATTCTCAACACTTCTCCAGCAACTTCAGTTAATTTTCAAATAACGCTTGGTATCTCGCAACCACATGTTCAAGTCAAACTTAATTTGCAACACAAAAACGCGCTCTCCTTTATATACTGACGATTGCTCCTTATTCCTGATTGTAAAGAAAAATAAAAGGGCTACTGCAGAGATAATGTGGTTTTTTTTATGTGAATCTGACATTTCACTTGATTTGCAGTTGATAGCGGTAGCCTGTGTGGGACGGGCGTAGTTGGTTGTGATTGCATTACTGGCATTTACTTTATCAACGGAATGGCAGTGACGACTGTGCGATGCTCCTGCAGCGTTGGATGGGGCGGACCCACCTGTCAGACAGGTACAAAATGTCACCACTAACAATTAGAAATTTGTCATTTTCATCAACTCAATTCAATTCAAATTGAGTTTATTATCCCTGACGGGAAATTCCATTGGCCTTTTACATTGAACAAGTTAATGACAATTTTAAGAACCTTCCATATTCACTATTCCAATACCATGAATTCGGAAGACTGTGTTAAAAGATAAAATACTGCACAGAGCCTAAAAAAAAGACCCTTTTCTTCTTATTTTTACCTTTTAAATAACTAAAGTGAGCAAGGAACATTTCTTTCAAGACGTAAGGCCTATCTTGGGTGTGTGTTGTGGAGAACAAGGCAGTTTCGAAATCTGATGAATGAAGGACTGTGAGCCTTTTTTGAGTTAACTTGTTATGCCCCGCGGCGAAGCCGAAGGGGCATACTGTTTCCGCCTTGTCCTTCCGTGGGTGGGTTGGTGTGTGGGTGTGTGTGTCCGGACAAATCTTGTCAGCGCGATAACTTGAGAAATACTTTACATATTAACTTCAAATTTGGTTTGTGGATTGTCCTTGGTAATCCTAAGAAGCCTTTTGCATTTGGGGCCGAAAGGTCAAGGGTCAAGGTCACAGTGGCTGAAACAATAGAAATTTTGTCAGCGCGATAACTTGAGAAATACTTTACATATGAACTTCAAATTGGGTTTGTGGATTGTCCTTGGCAATTCTAAGAAGCCTTTTGCATTTGGGGCCAAAAGGTCAAGGGTCAAGGTCACAGTGGCTGAAACAATAGAAATTTTGTCAGCGCGATAACTTGAGAAATACTTTACATATGAACTTCAAATTTGGTTTGTGGATTGTCCTTGGCAATTCTAAGAAGCCTTTTGCATTTGGGGCCGAAAGGTCAAGGGTCAAGGTCACAGTGGCTGAAACAATAGAAATTTTGTCAGCGCGATAACTTGAGAAATACTTTACATATGAACTTCAAATTTGGTTTGTGGATTGTCCTTGGCAATTCTAAGAAGCCTTTTGCATTTGGGGCCAAAATGTCAAGGGTCAAGGTCACAGTGGCTGAAACAATAGAAATTTTGTCAGCGCGATAACTTGAGAAATACTTTACATATGAATTTCAAATTTGGTTTGCGGATTGTCCTTTGCAATCCTAAGAAGCCTATCGCATTGGGGGTCAAAAGGTCAAGGGTCAAGGTCACAGTGGCTAAAACAATAGAAATCTTGTATTTATTCTGAGATCATAGGGATTAGGGATTAATTCATATAAAACCTACAGAAGACACTAATGCTGTCAATGAACGTTCCATTTGACCAAGGTACATGTAAGTTGATGTTAGAGTGGTGTTATGTCATGGAAACAGTCACGGTTGCGGGGCATTTGTGTTTGTAAACACACCTGACTTGTTGTGTTTATGGAAGGTACTCTCGATCTTTTTGTTATTATTCTCTCGGACAGAAATAAACTGTGGGGCTGACACACCGACATCTGTCTGCGTAAACGGTGGAACATGCATCGAGATTCCACCTTCCCGGAATGGTCGTCGCAAGTGCAGATGCTTGTCTGGATTTACGGGCAAAGTCTGTGGTAAATACCCCCCCCCCCACAGCCCCAATCCCTCAACTATCTTGGTTTTTGACACAGAGTCCAGATTGTTGGTTCTTCAAATTAAGTGTGTGGATTCACATTACATTCATGCTTGCTGGTAAAATTGTATTACTATGGTGGGTGATAATGGAGGAAGTTCGAAATGGCTTGCGTTGGGGTGCCTTAGTGGTCATTGGGAAGGATTGGTTTTTAGGAGGTACGTGGTTCGAATCCTGTCTAAAGACTTCCCTTTTTTTTCAGAAATAAAAAAAAGTTTAACAGTTGCAAAAGGGCAACTTTGAAAGATTTTATTATTGCGCTAGAATTTGTGCCATTGAAGTTATTTTAAAAAGGCCAAAAAAAGTCTCCGGTTTCAGGTCTACGTGCGCATCACCGTAGCCATGCGCGTTGGCAAAATTAAAAAGTTTTTATTTTCAATGTAAGATGATGTCTCAAAACTGCCAAACTCACTGGTTTGACTGGAATCCTGCTGCTGCACAATTTTTACGTGTTTTAAGATAGGGTTACGATCGAGTGTAAGCTTAGTGGGGCCTCCCATATAATTTTGCACTGAATTTAGTCGGGCACCATTTGCAGACGGTGTTTTAATTTTGTTATTTGTCTGGAAGCCAGACTTAGGGAGCGATGGTCGTGTATCGAAACCTGTAAACGCATGATAGCCCCATTGTCATTTCTCCTGCATGTATATTCTAATCGTGTACTCCGTCGTTGTATAGTACTCGGACGACGCACGACAAACATACTGTTTTATATCATTGCAGAAATTACTTGTCCAGCTGACATTCAAGTTTACGAATTGTCCGGTCAAGGACGAGCAAATGTGGTGTGGTCACCTGGGCTGTACAGCAATCACACCCAGTTTGGTGCATTGACCGCAAACGACTTCATCTGCACGAATCAGAGTGGCCATCGAGTGTCGTCTGGCGGCTCGTACTTGCTGGGCGAGAGCAGTGTGAGTTGCCAGCCGAATCGGACTGTTACTCGCTCGAGAGGATCCTGTGAGTTCACCGTCACAGTGCTGCCAGGTAATATATCAATTCTCGTTATGCGCCTATCAATTGTTTCCCCCACGCCTCCCCCGGGCTGTCCCACCCAAGACGTGGGGATTGTTACTTTTGAAGTGACAAAATCCCCACCCCTCGGGCAAAATTTAAGTGACAATCCCCGACCATGCCCCGACTTACATACGCGGGGCGCACTAGCGATTGCCTTTCTATGTAGTACGCCAATGTTAACAGTGTAATTGGAGTGACCAAAATCCCCACCTTGGGACATGAAAAACGTGACCAAATCCCGACATCGGACCTGGGGTGGGGGGGGGGGGGCATTTGATAGGGGCATTAGTTCTGTTAAAGGGACTAATTTTACTTAAGAACTTATATATAATGCCCGTACAGCTAGAACAGCTTCACATATACTTACGACTCAACAGCTAAACATGCCAGAGCAACCCCAGTACAGCTAAACAGACTTTGTACTAATCGCCTAAGCAATTACACATGCGCAGAGTACAAGTAATTCACCTACTATCTCTGCTTTTACCATCTTCCAATGAGGAGCACCCCAAAAAAATCAATTATTTACACATTGTTTACTGTAGGCTAGATATTTCTTGAAACTTCTTTGAGTTAATGGTAGCCATGATCATGAAGATCATGAAACTCCCTTAGGCCTATGTGTGTTGGTGTTAGTAGACAATAGTAAATGGCATACAACATGCTTTGGGGAACATTATACAAATATTGAATGCTTCGAGTGGTGTAGTAAAACTAGCCTCCCGAGGTGATCCATGGCCATTCTATTTTCCCGAGGCAAACCACAGATTCTGCTTGATTTTAATATTTTAAATTATTGAAATCTGAACACAGTTGAAATAAACTTCAATTTCAATACAAAATCGGTGGAAAATGTATTTCTCTCTTCCAAACTACCCCTTCACAAAATGTTTGAACCCAACTCTGTGGCACGCTCTCTTTGGAACAATACGCGCTACCACAACGCGCTACGCGCAACGCGCACACAAGCATCCATTTGCACACAAATACCGCGCCGTGGAAATAGTACTTTGGTTGCCAATGGTATAGTACTTTGGTTGCTACGGGTATAGTACTTTTGGCCGTGCACAGAAAGATAGCAAAATTAGAAAGTAACATGTGACTCGCTCTCGGCCAATCGAAGACACAGAATCTGTGGGTGAGGTCTTATAATGAATGATATCATTGATGTGGATATCTAACGGAAAGCAGACGACAATTTTCTGGCCAACGTATAGACTTACTTTTCCGTGGTTTCCTTAATGTAGACATCGACGAATGTTTTGAGCTGACTGATCGCTGTGATGAAAACAGCCGTTGCAATAACACTGTAGGGGGGAGCTACGAGTGCATTTGTGACGAAGCCTACGTACTAAACGCCGACCGACGCTCTTGCACTGGTAAGAAATACTATCCAAAGTTTAGTAATGTTTAAATCAGGAGAGGTGTTGCTTAGAAAATGGTCCAACTCGCATTCCAATGACAATAGATTGCAGTCATCTGTTGTTGGCGTACATTTGACTGTTTTGCTGTCTAACATGGACTGCAGCATTTTTAAAACGTTTATCATTACTTATCAATAATTAACAGGAACGTTTGTCAGGAATGTTTGAAGGAAAGATTTAACAGCCTTCCAAGTTCATTCTCAGGATATTGTCATTCTCAACACTTCTCCAGCAACTTCAGTTAATTTTCAAATAACGCTTGGTATCTCGCAACCGCATGTTCAAGTCAAACTTAATTTGGGACACAAAAACGCGCTCTCCTTTATATACTGACGATTGCTCCTTATTCCTGATTGTAAAGAAAAATAAAAGGGCTACTGCAGTGATAATGTGTTTTTTTTAATCTGAATCTGACATTTCACTTGATTTGCAGTTGATAGCGGTAGCCTGTGTGGGACGGGCGTTGTTGGTTGTGATTGCATTACTGGCATTGATTTTATCAATGGAATGGCAGTGACGACTGTGCGATGCTCCTGCAGCGTTGGATGGGGCGGACCCACCTGTCAGACAGGTACAAAATGTCACCACTAACAATTAGAAATTTGTCATTTTCATCAACTCAATTCAATTCACTTTGACTTTATTATCCCTGACGGGAAATTCCATTGGCCTTTTACATTGAACAAGTTAATGACAATTTTAAGAACCTTCCATATTCACTATTCCAATCCCATGAATTCGGAAGACTGTGTTAAAAGATAAAATACTGCACAGAACCTAAAAAAAGACCCTTTTCTTCTTATTTTTACCTTTTAAATAACTAAAGTGAGCAAGGAACATTTCTTTCAAGACGTAAGGCCTGTCTTGGGTGTGTGTTGTGGAGAACAAGGCAGTTTTGAAATCTGATGAATGAAGGACTGTGAGCCTTTTTTGAGTTAACTTGTTGTGTTTATGGAAGGTACTCTCGATCTTTTTGTTATTATTCTCTCGGACAGAAATAAACTGTGGGGCTGACACACCGACATCTGTCTGCGTAAACGGTGGAACATGCATCGAGATTCCACCTTCCCGGAATGGTCGTCGCAAGTGCAGATGCTTGTCTGGATTTACGGGCAAAGTCTGTGGTAAATACCCCCCCCCCCCCACGGCCCCAATCCCTCAACTATCTTGGTTTTTGACACAGAGTCCAGATTGTTGGTTCTTCAAATTAAGTGTGTGGATTCACATTACATTCATGCTTGCTGGTAAAATTGTATTACTATGGTGGGTGATAATGGAGGAAGTTCGAAATGGCTTGCGTTGGGGTGCCTTAGTGGTCATTGGGAAGGATTGGTTTTTAGGAGGTACGTGGTTCGAATCCTGTCTAAAGACTTCCCTTTTTTTTCAGAAATAAAAAAAAGTTTAACAGTTGCAAAAGGGCAACTTTGAAAGATTTTATTATTGCGCTAGAATTTGTGCCATTGAAGTTATTTTAAAAAGGCCAAAAAAAGTCTCCGGTTTCAGGTCTACGTGCGCATCACCGTAGCCATGCGCGTCGGCAAAATTAAAAAGTTTTTATTTTCAATGTAAGATGATGTCTCAAAACTGCCAAACTCACTGGTTTGACTGGAATCCTGCTGCTGCACAATTTTTACGTGTTTTAAGATAGGGTTACGATCGAGTGTAAGCTTAGTGGGGCCTCTCTTGACTCCCATATAATTTTGCACTGAATTTAGTCGGGCACCATTTGCAGACGGTGTTTTAATTTTGTTATTTGTCTGGAAGCCAGACTTAGGGAGCGATGGTCGTGTATCGAAACCTGTAAACGCATGATAGCCCCATTGTCATTTCTCCTGCATGTATATTCTAATCGTGTACTCCGTCGTTGTATAGTACTCGGACGACGCACGACAAACATACTGTTTTATATCATTGCAGAAATTACTTGTCCAGCTGACATTCAAGTTTACGAATTGTCCGGTCAAGGACGAGCAAATGTGGTGTGGTCACCTGGGCTGTACAGCAATCACACCAAGTTTGGTGCATTGACCGCAAACGACTTCATCTGCACGAATCAGAGTGGCCATCGAGTGTCGTCTGGCGGCTCGTACTTGCTGGGCGAGAGCAGTGTGAGTTGCCAGCCGAATCGGACTGTTACTCGCTCGAGAGGATCCTGTGAGTTCACCGTCACAGTGCTGCCAGGTAATATATCAATTCTCTTTATGCGCCTATCAATTGTTTCCCCCACGCCTCCCCCGGGCTGTCCCACCCAAGACGTGGGGATTGTTACTTTTGAAGTGACAAAATCCCCACCCCTCGGGCAAAATTTAAGTGACAATCCCCGACCATGCCCCGACTTACATACGCGGGGCGCACTAGCGATTGCCTTTCTATGTAGTACGCCAATGTTAACAGTGTAATTGGAGTGACCAAAATCCCCACCTTGGGACATGAAAAACGTGACCAAATCCCGACATCGGACCTGGGGTGGGGGGGGGGGGCATTTGATAGGGGCATTAGTTCTGTTAAAGGGACTAATTTTACTTGCACTTTAATGGAAAAGGGCAGTCTTTATAAAAACTATGGGAAGGTTAAACCCCTCCCCCGCCCCTACCTGCTGGCTACGCCTATGAAAGGGGACTGAATGGGGATCCCCTGTGGATGTTTCACAAAAAAACAAACATCATTTTTATTGCCTTTTTTCAAATTCTAAGCAGTAGAGGGGGTGGGGCAATAAAAGGGAAGGGGAGGGGGAATGCCTTACAAAGTTACATGAAATCAAACACTGCCAATACATTGGCATATTGTTCACGTCGTTTTTTACACAAAAAAAGAATCCAGTTTTCACATTATTTTTCGGTGCCTTAGTTTCCTTTTTTTTTAAAAATGTTTTTCACACAAATTCATGTAGCATCATCATCAGGGTCTGGGTCTGGGCAACCTTCTGGAGACGGGTCTGGTAATGAAACGACTGAAGGTAAAATGCATTCCTCTCTCCAACTGAGATTGTGACACTTTATAAAATATTGTTTATTCGTAGTGTCATTGATCTTTTATAAGATGGAATTTTGCGTCAGGGTGATATATATCAAATTAGGTTTTGCCCTTCACCATCGTTTAAACACTGTATACTCAGTGTGTTACCTCCCGAGTGAAAGTTGGAAAAAAAATCACTCGGGTGGGACTCGAACCCACGACCTCCTGCTTTCTAGTGCAGATGTCTTACCACTCGACCACCGGTTGGCCAGTTTGAATCTGATGTACATAACAGTACATATGCAGTGGGTACTGCATAAACTATTAGAAGATGGAATTTTGTGTCGGGGTGATATAAATCAAATTAGGTTTTGCCCTTCATTGGTCTTCATTTTGAGCATTTACAATCGTGCATGCCTATCAGACATACAGAATCATTATCCAGTTTTCAAGGTGTTTTTAAAACTCGGTGCATCATTATTTTTGTTTAATGTATTTTGCACAAATTCATGTAGCATCATCATCAGGGTCTGGGTCTGGGCAACCTTCTGGAGACGGGTCTGGTGATGAAACGACTGAAGGTAAAATACATTCTTCTCTCCAACTGAGATTGAGACACTTTACAAAATATTCATTTATTCATTTGTGTTATTGGTCTTCATTTTGAGCATGTACAAAAATGCATGCCTATCAGACATACAGCATCATCATCATCCAGTTTAAATTTTTTTTTACACTTGATGCATCATTCTTTTTTTATGTATTTCGCACAAATTCATGTAGCATCTTCTTCGGGGTCTGGGTCTGGGCAAACCTCTCGAGACGGGTCTGGTGATGAGACGACCCAAGGTAAAGTCTTTTCCTATCTTCAACTGCAAGGGCAGATCCAGGGGGACCCCCCCCCCCCCCAAAAAAAAGAGACGTCACAATAAAGGCATGCATTAGGTTCCACAGCCACCATCTTTTCCTTAAGAAATATGGTCAAAGTAGTTTTGCATTGATGAACTTTGGTGGCCACCAAACAAAAAATAATTAAATCCCACATTCACATCTTCATTCTCATTCGGTATTAAATGATTCATTCATTTGTATATGGCCCCTTTCCCAATTTGGCATCCAAAATGTTCAGAACATTCAAACTGTTGTACTATAATTTTTTACAAGCAATGGATTTCACTCCGACAAGATCATCATTGAGTTCTGGGCAAAGCTCTACTGCAGCCGCAGTAATCGATCCAACCATGCAAGGTGAGTGCCTTGTCGAACAAAGAAACAATTGCCGTCCGGAGAATTAGGGGAACGAAAGTAGTTTTGACAAAAGGCGTCTAATTTCAGAAATTTCACAATTTCTGAAAAAAAGTGCTTTTTACAAGTTCACCAAGAGTTTGTTTATTAGAGTTTAAGTCACCAAGAACTCACTTTTAACAATGGAAACATAATATTGGGAGAATTACACAATTGAACAAACAAAAGAAAAAAGGTGTAGGATATTTCGCTCACCAAATTAATCATCCTATTGATATTTTTTTGGAACAAAATATTGATCAATTTGTAGAGTGAGAGATTTATTCATTAATCTGAATCATTTGATAACTACAGCATCGGAGTCGGTGACTGATAGTCCAGGGGGAGACTCAACAACAGAGGGCGCCCCACCGGAAGGTAGAGCACCGTCGAATTTTTCACTTGATTTTGTTAATGAAAATACTTTTTTAAGCTCAGCTTTTTCTGTATTCGTAATGCATGTGTAAGGTTTAGTGATATACTGTGTGTTCAATCGATTAGGTGTCTTCATCGTTTGTCGTATATTTGAGGATTATAGAAAAGAGCCGTCACTTTATTTTTTTTTTTTGAATATTCAATTTTATTGCGTTCTTAGTCAAAGTTTACTGCAAAACATTGTCATTTTAACGCGATTATTATGCGCTACGTGTACATTACAATAACAGTAGGAACATCATCAGATGCCAACGCGTTGACTCAAGAAATAGACTCGAGTACAGAGGCTTCTAATGCTGAAGTCACCAAAGGTAAAAATCCATTCTTATTTCCTAGTGACATTATTACGTCGTGCGAGACATCTTCATTTGGCATTATCTTCTTTCTTTCAACAGCACCTCACCAAACAACTAATTCTGCCCCAATGGTGGACTCGTTGACAACAGAAGCTGCACGACCAGCAGGTGAGCTATCGTTCCCCGGACTACAGTGTTGCATTAGGGTTTCCAATAGTATACACCTGTTGTAATAACACTAATTTACAAATATCTCTGTTTATGACCTACTGCGTTTTCAGTTTATATGATTGAATGATGTTATTTTTACTTTATGGTTTCTGGTAGATTCATCAACTGTCGAGATCACAACTACTCGATCAGTAGTAGATTCCTCAACCGCGCCTCCTCCTGAAGGTAAACATTAGACTATACTCACCCGGCTCGAGTGGCCACTTCCTTTTGAAATTGATTGCCTATGAAGTTTACATCAGTTTGAAAACAACTGTTCCTTGTATTTTTTTCTCCCAGAGTGTCCTTTGACCCAAGCAAGCTGCCAAGAAGGTACATTTGATGCTGACCATTGTGAGTGCGTCTGCCCAATGATGTTATCGGGAAGATTTTGTCAAGGTAATTTTTCCATCGACTTTTAAAATACGTCTTGTTATAATAATAATAGGCACTTAAGAACGCTCTTATTAATAAACTAAATCACAGCGTTTACAGTTTTATTATTACCCCTGATCATTGGGCCAATTAAACATTCCAAATGCCATCTTAGCTCCCTGGGGAGTATACAGCTCGATGCTGCCTGTTAGGCGCAAGCAAGCTAATTCAATCACAATAACCATCTCTGCCCTCACAGGTACCCATTTACTCCTGGGTGGAGAGAAGCAATGAGTGACAAAGTGCCTTGCCCAAGGGCACAGGCACCATAGCCGCAGGCTGGACTCGAACCCACAACCTGCAGAATTACCCGCAGACCACGAATTCAAAGCCCTTAACCACGAGGTCATGGCACGCCACAGACTTTTCTGTCTCTTACTTCTTTCAATATCTCGATATACTTCTCCGAATACGTTCTTTTCTTGCAGTTTCCAACCCATGTTTGGTTAACAGCCTTTGCCCTGGTGACTCCCAGTATTGTGTTGCGAACGTCCAATCCGATAACGGCTACACGTGCGTTTGCAATTACTTGGACGGTTACATCATGAACGGAAATGGCTTCTGCATAAGTATGATCCTTTGTTCTTTGTTATAAAATAAACGGGTTCAAAACTGTTATTATTAGCAAACCCCGACACACAGAACCTTGGGAAAGTGGTGGTGGGGTGGGGGATGGACGACCCTCCCCCTTCAACCAGGCTGTGTATTTCCATTTATTTTTGAGAAATGAAAAGGTCTACTTCATGGTAAAAATGATGCTCCCCTCCCAACAGCCTGGCTACGGCCCTGCAATATTATTAGAAGGATAATTACAAGAACCTTTCTATTTGAATTCAGTTTCTATGTTCAAGGTTTTTTCAAGGTTTTGTCCCTTTTTAATTATTTGTGACTCACTAAACTCGGATACCACACAGCTACTGAAAGTGACTTGTAGGTCTATTTCAACTGCACTCTCGCATTCTATACAGGGAAGGTTGCTCGCATTTTTCGGCTTCGAGTGTTTGGTATCAATGGAGATCCTGTCGGCTTCATTCAGCAATTCATTAATCCAAGCTCTGCTGCGAGTACAGAGGTTTTAACCGTTGGTCCTAAAGTGGTGAGTCGTAAAATTCTGTATTGAAAGCAGTATTGAATTTTGCACGAATGCCTCGATCTATCATGATAAACTTTGTTATTTAAGATATCCCCATTGTTCATGCTGAAATGTACTAGCATTTTGTACGATTTCGTAATAAAACTGTTTAAAAGGTACAGTTCTCAACCTGATCGTAAAATATTGCAGTGTCAATTTTTGTTTGTCTTAGATCTTCTTCTTTCTAAAACGAAGCGTACTCACATCAGCGGTGGAAGATGTGGTAGGCATCCGTGTGGTTAGTGGAGGCAGTATAATCGTCGAGTTTGTGGCATTGTTTCCCGATGAGAACTCCGCACCGACTGTCTCAACTCTACAGAATGTCCTCCAAGAAACCAGGACGTTGGATGATGGCTCTGACAATCTAGAAGTCGACACCCAGTACGTCACTGACAGCCGTACGTTACCTCCATGTTTATATCAGAACCAAAACAAGTATTATCACTGCTCTGAAAGTAGTCACCAGAAGTCTTTGTGAAGAACCAAACATTCGGATTCGATTTGGAAAAAAATGTAGAAATGCCTTCACTATGGCATCGTTTGTAATAATAAAGAGGTATTACGTTATTATTAGCAGAGCTGTCAGAAAAAAATGTTGATGTTTTAACCGACTTTGATGGTAGTCCAACATGATAGGTTGATAAAGGCCTCTGGTAAGAACCTTAAGGTAGGGGAAAATAAAAAGCGGAAATGAGCAAGAAGCAAAAAAAGGTATCCATAGTTTTTGTGGTCTAAGTTGTCTGATAGGTACCTACATTTGTGAGAGATGATAATGAAAACATTTTACCAATTTGTATGAATGGGACTGAGGAGGCAGTCAAACCAAATCAAAAGGCAGAACAAAAAGCAAACTTGCATGAAAGGTATCTGTTCATAATCTCGAGGTTATAGCCGCTTCATGTGGGAAGTTATTTCTCTTGTGGTACGTCAGCCACCTTTTTTTGGAGACTGCCCTAACGGATATAAATGAAATGTGTTTTTGACAGAATCGTCTACAAGCTGCCCGCAGGACTACTGTAGCAATGGTGGGTCGTGTGATGTATCGGGACTGTTCCCTGTTTTCGCTTTCACCTGCAGGTATGTCCAACTTTCTGTTGTTCTCTGCTTTGTACATTGTGCGTGGTCCTCTGTTTGCCTATTTGTACTCGCCTAAACAATCTGGTTCAGGCCCTGGCAATGTGTCGATTACATATTTATCTTATCCATAGGTGTGCAACCTCGTTCACCGGTGAGCAATGCGAATCAATCGTCCTGGCTCCTGCTACCGATTCACCGATGCCATCAACAGTTGAACCACTCACCGAGTCTGCTACCCAAGGTAAGGCCCTGCTATCAAATTCCAAGTTACATGGTATGCAGTGCTGTGTCAAATTTGTGTTTGATGGTTTTGGTATCTCTTTTGTTGATTTACAGACGTCTCTACAGTTTTAGTTCTCGTCCTCGTCTTCTCTGGCCTGCTGTTACTCGTCTTCATCTTGGCCATACTAGTCTGCCTCCACACCTTGATGAGACATCGCTATCGTGCTGGTTACGTCTCCAGATATGAGCAACCTTCGGACCCCTACTGGACTTGGAGGAATGATCCAATTCCTGTGTTCTCCACCAATGTGGTACCTGACTACGAGCAGTCTGGCTACTACGGTGACTTCAACAAGACTCTCTTCTTGGGAAGAGACGAGGACCGGAGAATGCGCCGACTGCATCAGGTCATGAGTCACTCACCTTACTTGCAGCAGGTACAAAGTCTTATCTTTTCTATTTTCGAATATAGTTCAAAATATCAAACCAGAATATGAACTATATAGGCACTGTGCTGAGAATAAGTGTCGTGGATGGAATGGATTTCGAAATTGAAGACTGCAGTTAAATAATGTCCACTTTACTGATAATGTTTTATCTTCCAATAAAGGGCCTAATGGATTTGCCCAGCAAACATGCAGGATACTACATGGCCACGGGGCACGACGCCTACTACCAAGAGAACTCCAGGGTAAGCCGTTGAAGCGATTTTCAGTATATTTAGGTTTTTTAAGAGCTAAGCGTTATGGCGAATTTCAATAAGCCCAAAACACAAAGTGACCCTCCCTCGCATAACTAGTCGGAAGTCGTACACAACCGTTTTTTGAGATACAGCCATAGAATATTGCAATGATGAATATTTTGCACTGAAAACACCTATAGCTCCGTCAGATTTTGTCCGATGCCCATTATTCCATACATTCATTGGAGAGCTTTAGTATTCAGTGTCATTTCCAATGACCCCCAGCTGTGCAGGAGGGTCAAGAATGAGACGCAAACTGAGTTTGTCATTCCTAGATCCATAATGATCTAAGAAAGAATTTTGTATCTTATAATCCTCCACGTAATTATCCTGATATGGCTGCGCTTTAACTGTAGACTTGGGTATCATTGTGGAGAAATCTCGTTTTCTTTCACCAGGATTTGGAAGTAGCCGGGCGTGTGGTCCGCAATCCTAATCCCTACTAGATACGGCGTCAACTTGACCAGTGATGACCACTATCAAGAGGATTGAATCTTGGAGGTGTTTTTTGGTCAAGACAAAGCTTGTATTATAACACCTCGCCCACAGATTCTGTGTCTTGATTGGCCGAGAGTGAGTCGCATGATACTTTCAATTTTTGCTACCTTTCTGTGCAGGGCCAAAAGTACTATACCCGTAGCAACCAAAGTACTATACCATTAGCAACCAAAGTACTATATCCATGGCGCGGTATTTGTGTGCAAATGCATGCTGGTGTGCGCGTTGCTTGTAGCACATTTTGTTCCAAAGAGAGCGCGCCGCAGAGTTGGGTTCAAACTTTTCTTGAAGGGGTAGTTTGGAAGAGAGAAATACATTTTCCTCCAATTTTGTATTGACATTGAAGTTTATTTCAACTGTGTTCAAATTTAAATAATCTAAAATATTAAAACCAGACAGAATCTGTGGGTGGAGTGTTATAAAACAAATATTGACTGCTTTATCTCGTGGTGAAGTAAAACTAGCCTCCCTCGGTGATCCATGGAGCATTCTATTTTCCCTCGGCTTCGCCTCGCAAAAATAGAATGTCCATGGATCACCTCGGGAGGCTAGTCTTACTACACCACGAGATAAAGCAGTCAATATATGTACATTTTGTAATTGAAAAAGGTTAGTATTGGAAAAAGTACCACTTGTGAACTAGTCAAAGGATCTTGAGAACGAGGCATCACGTGGATCCATCTAATTGAAGGGTCGCCTATAATGATAAGTTTGGAAGGGAACACATTCTGCATAATTTCCCTTCCATTTTGGAATTAAAAACTAGTGTTTAGGTCATTATTATGGTGTATAAGGATTGCCTTATTACGGTATGGAATAACATAACTCGATTTAGTATAATGTAAGTTTATTCAGATTAATCACAGGTTGTGTTTTTATTATAAAATCACAACATATAATTTGTTTGAAATATTTTTTGTATGCAGATGCTTGTTTGAAGACGAGGGGTATATTTTTATTTGTATTATTATTACATGTATCATGGTGTGATATTTTGTGTAAAATGAAGGTTTACTTTTTTTTACGGATATTGTATACCATGTAATGGCAACTCATAACATACTGGATATCATAGTTGTAAATATTGTATTTTATTCACACAATTAAATTTGTCGATAAGTATAAAGACCACAGTGTTAAAGCCAATAGGCCCGACCAATAAAAGGGAATCACCACGATTTCACATAGGAAACTCATACCATCACTGAAATCAAGCCAGCCGGGACTGAAGAAGTTTTGTAGATTCAGTTTTGTAATCAGTAGGCCTATAGCATTATATCTATAATAGAGGGGTGATTGCCATATATTTTATGCTATAAACATTGATTACTATATGCTTTGATTTGTGTAGTGTAAGGGATCATTCACAGATTGTGATTACATACATGTTTACCTTTTCAAGATTAGCTGTGTTGATATACATTTGTTCTTTATTCGGTTATATTTTTTAACGTTGATAATTGATTTTTGGGTAGATTTGGGATATGTGTATAATGGTGAAGTATTGTATGTTATCCCGCGAGTGGAACACGGAATAATGTAGTGCGTCTGTGTCCCACATACCACGAGGCCAAAGGCCGAGTGGTATGTGGGACACAGACTCCCTACATTTTCCGTGTTCCACGAGCGCGAGCGTGATAACGAATTTATCTTCAAGCAAACTTGACGCACAGTACAGTTGGAACGAGCACGCTTTACACGGACATTCAGCAGTTTAGCGTATGTAGCTGGAATGTCGCTCGCATCTTGGAACAGCGGAATATGCGAAGTGCGGTATGGACCGTGGCCGTGCTACATAGTTATATGTAGCACGGCTTGTTGCCATGGATTGACCAATCAGGATCGAGGATTCAAGTTTACTTGAAGATAAATATATATATATTTACTGCAGATATATTATACTGGCAGTGTTGAATAAATTACCATATGATATCAGTGCAAAAATGCTTGTAACTATGAAGAGTGAAATATGTTTGAAATTAAAAGAACCCCACTTTTTAGAGAAACATGATGATTTAAATGCCGTCGAACATTGTGTAACACATTTATATTTTCTTTATACTGCACTTGACTTCTCAAATATATGGTCAAAACATGAATTGTTTATTAAGTGACGTAGGTCCATCGCAGATTTGTCGCCCTGAAGGGTTTTTCTTCACGTTTCACATGCCTGTCCCTTCGTGAAAACGGTGGCTTATTTAGGTCGATTGAAAAACAAGGGTCAAAGTTAATATTGTACTCAACTGAATATATATTTAAATTTAATAACACTCGAAACTGACGTAAATACGACTGACTAATGGGCAAATCAGATGTTTATTTCAGATTGTAAGGGTGAACCTTGCACGTTTATCCAAAAATGGGCAAAATCAGATGGTTATGAAAAACTGCCAATTGTAAGGGGTTAACCTTGCATTTGTAGCAAAATTGGGCAAAATCAGATTTTTATGGAAAAAAGTAGACTGTAGGCCTCCTAAGGGGTTAACCTTGCATTTTTATCAAAGATGGACAAAATAAGATGTTTATGAAAAATTTAAGATTGTAAGGTTTTAACCTTGCGTTTTTATCCAAAAATGGGCAAAATCAGATGTTTATGAAAAATTTCAGATTGTAAGTGGTTAATCTTGAATTTGTACCAAACTAAAAATTTTCATGAAAAATTTATAATTGTATTGGGTTAACCTTACTTTTTTAGCAAAATTGGGCAAAATCCAATTTATGAAAATTTTAAATTGTAAGGGTTTACCTTGCATTTTTATCCAAAATGGGCAAAATAAGATGTTTATGAAAAAGTTCACATTGTAAGGGGTTAACCTTGCATTTGTAGCTAAATTGGGGAAAAAAAATTGGGAAAAAATTCAGAGTGTAGGCCCCTAAGGGTTTAACCTTGCATTTTTATCTAAAAAGAGCAAAATAAGATTTAAAATTGTAAGGGGTTAATCTTTCATATTGAGCAAAATTTTGGAAAATCAGATTTTTATGAAAAATTTCAAATTGTAAGGGGTTAACCTTGCATTTTTAGCAAAATTGGGCAAATTCAGATGTTTATGAAAATTTCACTAATTGTAAGGGGTTAACCTTGCATTTTTAGCAAAATTGGGCAAATGCAGATGTTTATGAAATTTTTACTAATTGTAAGGGGTTAACCTTGCATTTTTAGCAAAATTGGGCAAATTCAGATGTTTATGAAATTTTCAGATTGTAAGGGGTTAACCTTGCATTTTAAGCAAAATTGGGCAAGTCCGATTTTTATGAAAAATTTCAAAATGTAAGGGGGTTAACCTTGCAGTTTTAGCAAAATTTGGACCAAATCAGGTTTTTATGAAAAAATTCAAATTGTAATGGGGTTTACTTTTCATTTTTGTTAAAAATGGGCAAAATCAGATGTTTATGAAAAATTTCAAATTGTCAGGGGTTAACCTTGTATTTTTAGCAAAATTGGGCAAAATCAGATGTTTATGAAAATTTCACTAATAGTAAGGGGGTTAACCTTGCATTTTTAGCAAAATTGGGCAAATTCAGATGTTTATGAAAATTTCACTAATAGTAAGGGGTTAACCTTGCATTTTTAGCAAAATTGGGCAAATTCAGATGTTTATGAAATCAGCGGGTAAGACCCACTCGATAATGATGTTGGAGATGTCGTTGGTTTCTGAACTGAAATCAATTTTCCAAATTTGCTCTTAAGAGACCCATTAAAAATATGAAGAGGTGGGCTGGCCTGTTTTGTTCGCTTTTTTTTTATTGTTTGCGAGAACCCTTGAGGCTATTCCAATCAACAGACGAGATGTTGAATCAGAAGTAATTGTTCAATCCTATAGACCTTTTAAAAACATAAAGCTTCGCTCGGGCGCACCTGCATTCCTTTGGAATTGTAGAGGCGAATAATTTCTGTCATAGCATTCTGGTAATAGTATTTTTAATGATAGAAAGTAAGTCATATTTCCCTAAAACAATTCAAGAGGTTGATATACAGCGCTATATTTTAAATCCATCTTCCTGCGATGTCAAGAGAAAGTGACCTCATTAATTATGACATTTTACCCGTGATTGCAAAACATAGTTTTGGTTTGGCATAAAATATAATGTCAACTACACATGCGATATTATTGGAATTGTCTTCAGTGGCACTAGTTCTTTTGTGAGTGGCACACCACCCTTGACGTAACAGACACAATATCAAAAATAACTACAGTCAATTTTAATTGTTTAGCAATTCAAGCTTTGTCGTTATTTGTGATTTGAGACGCCCTCAAATATGGACGAATATATGTATCCCACATCATCCCTATACTAATTTTTAATCAAGTCTTAAGTCAGCTTTCGTAGTCTGCGAACTAATTTGATTGAGGCACCAAAAGCGGCATCCATTACGTGACGCAACCAATCCTTGATCTATTTTAGTCCTTATCAATTTATCCAGAGTAATTATTAATTAGTTTGAATTATTTTACACTGTTTACATCATAGAATTACATCATAATAAGATTAGTACGCAATCCATGAGAATATTTCCTCCACTGCGTTTGTTAAAATTTGGCATCCCATGTTTGATATTATTTTTGCCTCCAAGACGATTTACATGTACATTTTTTTCGAGGAGCACCTCTTGGGGTTCCCAAGGTATGATGAGGTCCGTATGTCAACCTCAATGGGCATTGTTCATTCTGAGGCACCATATGCTTCACCATCGGTTCATCATTGACCTCTGATTCATAGAGACACTCCGGTACCCTACTTTACAGTGGATTCACCAAGGGTTTGTGTACGAGGTCTGCCTGCTAGTGCTAACCTCGTCGGGTGCTCTCCTCTGTTGCTTTCATTTGTCTGAGGCACTATCCTGCGCCTCAAGCAGCACCTCACACACCTGAGTAGCTTGATCACCTCTCTTCTGAAAGAGCCATTCATCAAGGTGTAAATAATCACGTTCCAGAAACTGTTGGACATCGGGAGCCACACGTACAAAAGGTGGAGCCCACCTGGGAGGAGACCTCCCGTCATTGCCCCGTAGAGCCTCATGGCAAAGTGAGGCACCCAACACACTGCGAACCCTAGCGACACCACAAGGAACATTATGAGGGCCTTCCTGTTCAACGCAGCTCTCCCTTTGTTCCCGGTGGTAGGTTTGGGTGTAGTCTGGTTCAAAGAGGCCTCTTGGTTGGTGTGAACGCTGGCCTCCGTGGGCTGC